TATAAGGACAGAGGTTCGGTTCCCATTAGAGACCAATTTCTCAATCATTATATAAAGTAACTCGCATTTTGCTGTTAGACAGCCATGATTGAAGTTTTGTGCTCAACATATTAAGTCTCTTGGGCTTTACTATGTCCTCATACATATCCTCTTTCTTTATTCATTCAATCTTACATCTCCAACATATCTCGATAAGTTCATATAAACCAAAAATAATCACATAAAACCAAAAATTTCACAAATCAAAATTAAACACTCTGAAATCACCGCCACCAAGCTAAAGCTTACACAATAAATCCAAACGTAAAGCTTACATTAAAATCTCTTTTACATAAATTACTCATAGAAATTCCATTTAAGAAAATGTTTCTAGAAACAAGAAAAAAAATTCCTTTATACAACTAATTAAAATCTTCATCAAAAATTCCAGCAATAAATAATTCAAACGTTAATGTATTCATTTTATTGTAGCAACAACAAAAACAACATTGAGTATGTATACATGTGTCTAAAAACATGAAAATAGTGACAGCAAAGAAATATAAATTTAATGGTTACATAATTAAATATTTATTTAAATTATCATGAAGTGAAATTAATAGGAACGTAAAGAAGAAGGGTTTCATGATGTCTTATTCAAATTGCAATCATAGTAAATGTGATGGTGAAGGATGGAAGATGAAATCAAGGTTATGAGCATAAAGGAATAAAAAGGTATTATAAAACTGAGTTTAATGAACACAACTCATTAAAATTTTATTTGAAAAACATTTTCCATGATTATGTTTCTTGGGTAGTGAAAGGAAAATGATGAAAATATTATTTTTTTAATCCCCATCCAATGATGTGGAAGAGAATGTTTTGTAACTTTTTGATATTTGTAAGCATGAGTTTGTAGTTGGAATGTGTGATTTAGAGAGGAGTTGTTTGGATGTCAGGAAGAAGTTTATGTAACTATGTTTTGGGGTAAAGCAGGGAACTTATGTTTTTAAGTGTCAAATGGAAACTTTTAGGATTTGTTTGAGATTTTTCTTTATAACATCCACAAGCTTAAAGAAATTTGCCATGCATGGCTGACCAAATGTGCCGATTTTCAGTGTATAGTAATTTATTCCATCAACTGCGCTCCATTTCCAACCTTACTCACACTTAACCCCAACTTAAACATTCTAAAATGGCGAGTACAATTTTTTATTAAAAAATTACAAAAGCCATGAATAAAGGTATAAAGTGTCATTATGAACTGCTGTCATTTTACTACAACTCATCATGATAATGCGAAAATATCTCCCCTCATTTGATGAGATGAAAAATTATTTATTCTATTATAATTATTATCTTCGTTTTTAACAACAGGTAACTAGCTGAATATTTGAATATTTTCCACCTCATAAACTTCCTTGTTTTAAATACTCTTTTTTTGTTGCTGCCACTTTACGAGATTATTGGAATGGATGAGGATTTTTCATGGTGGGATTAAATTTTTATTATGTTCAGTTTGTAAGAAGGCATAAGCAGCAATGGTGGATGCTTAAGTGTTTGAAAATTCAAAATAGAAAATTGCAAGAAAGTGAAATTTTTAATGATTTTTGAAAGGTACTTTTTGGTGGTTGTTTTAATGCTAAGGAGTAAAGTTGAGAATTTTTTTAAGGACGAATGTAGTTGAAATCGAAATTTACAAATGTAGATTGATATCTGGGAGACTGACAGTGACGTCTCATAAACACCAGGGACCAAACAACATGGCTACTCCTCTAGATACTAATCCATATTTAAGCAAATCTGCCAATTCTGTTACAAACCGGATTGTAACCTGAGCGATTGAGTTGCTAGGAAGCAGACCAGTTTTAATAGTCCTATTTATTGAAAACGTGAGTTTGATTCCTATCAGAGTTTGATCTGTCAGTCATTTCAACTTAAAAGCAATTTCAATCTTGTGACTCTTGGGTCACTTGGAGCTTCTGACTCCGCTAATATTAAAACAAAACTGAATTTTCACTTCTAGTGTAAGTTAAAGTTATTATTAAATTCTCAGTTGTTCTAGAATTTCTGAAATAAATTTTGCATACAAAACCAGTTCATTTCTAAGTATGCAGTCAAGTTCTACAATTAATTTACATCACCACCCATCTCGTAGACAATTCAAGGCTCTACCCGAGCCTTTTCTAACAAAAAATTCATGAATCCATTTGAAGTTGCGAGATAAGACAGCAAAAAGCATAGAATTCATGATGAAAACCTTGAATAATTTAGTTTGTAGAGCTTTTTTGCTCCTTTTTCATGAACATTAAGGTAAGATAATGAGAACCTCAAGCACTTGCTGTTAAAAATTATTTCATAATAATTTGCAAAAAAAAGTGTAAAATAAAGGACGATAAGAAGGTGCTTTTAAGAAAATAATTACTTCCATAATTTCTGATGTTAACGGTGGGCGGAATTTAGTTAAGTTTTCACTTATTTAGTTGAGACTAGGACGAGGAAATTGAATGAAGCTTTAAAATTGTAGTAATTTTTATAATTAAAAGCTTCACAAAAGACTTGTTCTGTTGTAATTTATGTTCTCTCCTGTGCTTACGTTCTATAATTAATAAGTTAATAAGAGATAATTAAATGTTCATAATCTTTATTGTGAGCTTGCCTCGTTCCTCATTATAATTTCTCTTTGTTGCTCTTTCCTATTGTTTTTTATGTATTGGAAAATTATTTTTCAAACATTGCCAAGCTAGATAGAACTAGCAAAAAGCTAAACAGACAGAAACTATAAGTCACAAATGTCATTTTTTTAAAACATAATTTTGATTGTCTTTTCAGATAAAAATTTCTATTAAAAACAGTCGCATTGTTTTGTATTTCAGAAAACATGAGCAAGAAAATTGAATAGAGACAAATATCGTAAATATTTGATGTAAACAGCAAACAAAACGTTTTTGCTACCTAAGTCAATTCTCATTTTTATTTCAGCATGAATTTTGGATGAAAATGAGAAAAAAAGGTTTTCGAGACATTTTGGGAGAATTTTATTTTCTGAACTTAGGAAACGGTTCCAGCCAAGCAACAGAATATTTTTTAAAAAAGTTAAGCTTGTTGGAATTTTTCAAAATTACAACAACAGAAAAATGCGTTTAGAAAATCTACAATAACTTTCTTTCTATAACTTCAACTTGCCCATACAATTTTCCCTTTTCGTCTACAACCATTCCTCTTTCACTCCAAAGATTCGAAAAAGAAGAATATTTTGTTTTGTAATTATGAAAATGGCATTGTATTCCTTATTTTTTCTGTGCTGCTTTTTTTCCTGCGAACACGATACATATTTAATGAGGATTTTTATGCGAATAGAATGGAATATAAATTCTTTTTTTTTCTTCTCATTTTCCCTTTTCTCATTTCTTTTTACACACAAACAATCATCGACTGCTGCTGCTGCTTTGTATGTGAATTTAAATTTTTTATATTTCTATGCGAAAAATTTATTAAATTTTCATAAAGAGATTTCTGTGCCTTTACGCATATTGCTTAATAATTACTGTTTGTCATTAATATTAAATTTTTTTTTTGACTTTTGTTTTTTGAAATTATTTCTGTAAACGTATTTTTCGATTAATTTCTTTGTGTGTTTATAATTTTTTTCGTGAACATGAACAAAAGTGAGTGAAAGAAAATTTGTTGAAAAAACATAAAAAAATACAATTTTCTTTTTGCGTCATGCATGAGATTCCTTTGTTCTCTTTTAATTAAATGGCAAATACTTGAAAGAGCTTTTAATTGGTAAATGTAAGAGAAATTGGTGTTTTGAGAATTTTTGATGGCATTTTAATTTTTGTTTTGAGATGCTAAGAGCTTGTAGTAATGAATGTTTGAATTTTGTTTAAATAAGAGGAAATTTTGCTCTCGCTTTCATACCCAAAACTTTTCTGCATTTACAGATATTACATTAATTTGTCATAAAAATCTTATTTTAAATTTTCAATTTTTTTTAAATTTTTGCAAACTTTTTGAAATATTAAAACATTTAAAATAAAATAAAAAAACATTTAAATTGATTTTTTTAAATTATAAAATATTTCATAAAAATTCTCGCTTAAAAAATCAGTTTTCAACAATTTAAAATCCATTTTTAATTTTCTTTGAATTTTCATGAGCCTAAAAATGAAAAACTTTCTTAAAAAACTCTGGTTTCTATCATTACAGCCACTGTAATTTAAAGCTCAAATATCCAGATTGCCTATCAAAATATCCAGATTCTAAACATCTAAAACAATAAAATCTCATCAAAACATCTGCAATCAACGCGAATATTCCATAACCCTTCCCACATCCCCCCATCACTCATTGTAACAATTGCCATGCAATTAAGAGAGAACAAAAGCTGAAATGTACGATGAAATAAAAAGGATTTTTATGAGCGAAATTAAATGATAATTGAAAGCTTACATTAAAGCGTGAAAATTTAAATCAAATTCAAAAAAAATTGTTTAGATAAAATTTAAATTTAATTTTTTCAATTTGATGCAAAAAAAATTGTTCAAAAGTTATATTTTTGTGAGGATGTAGATTGGAGGGAGTTGTAAAAAGAGAAGAAAATTAAATTTTGTCTTGAAGATAAATATTTAAAAAAAACCAATTTGACAAAAAAATCCTTTTTTTTTTGAATTTTTCTAAACTAGCTTTTTTTATTTTAAACTTGGAAGAAGACTAAAAAATTCCCAAAAATTATTGAAAAATTTTCGTCATCTTTCCAAGTCTCATGAAAGCTTTTCCAAGACACAACAAACCTTCACCAACTTTCAAATACCCCTCCATCATATCCAAGATCATAACAAATCAAATTTATAGCCGCAAATAATTTTACAAATAACTTTCCGAAAATTCTACTTCAGATTCGCGCGTACAAGCGGAAATGGAGAATGAATAGCCATTTCCAAATGCACTATCAAAGTCAGATGTGGATGGTTCGGGTTGTATAATAATTGGTAATCCAACAGCATCTTTTTCCTTACCTTGATTTAATGACGTTCCATTATTAATCATCGTTATTTGCTGTGACAATTGCAATTGAGAACTTGATTGTGTATCGCCTTTCTGCTGATCACGCTCCGCTAAGCGCTGCTTTAATATTCGAATTTTTTCCTCTTTCTGGATTTTTTTTTTTGGAAATGAAAGAAAAATAATATTTTGATTATTGATTGCCATAAAAATTGATGTGCGTAGCTCGTTGTCATGGTTTAGTAATAAAACGAACAGAAAAAGACAAATGAATTGTGAGTGTCACTCGTAGATTGGGTAATCGATTATCATTTATAATAGAAAAATATTTCTTTTTACTTACTTGAGCAATCAATTTTTGAAGTTCCTCGTTTTCCAGTACTAATTTTTTATATCGTTCCTCGTCCTCTTTTGATATCCCCGTATCATTATTTAATCGTGATTCAGCTTTATCATGTGGATGTCTAAGAACTTCTATTACCTAGAATATTGTATAAATTTGGGGGAGAAAAAGATGACGGAAATGAGTAATTTGTAGAGGGGATGTTCAACATTTAGTATCGTGTGAGACAATTAATCATGAATTACGAGAGAAAGTTTATTGATATTTTTCTATCGATTATGATTTATGCAAGGCGTGGACACTGGGATTAATCCCAATAATCCCAAATAATCCCAATAATCCCAAATAATCCCAATAATCCCAAATAATCCCAATAATCCCAAATAATCCCAGGTTTGGGATTATTGGGATTATTAAAATAATTTTAAAATTTTTCAAATTTAAAATTTATTAAATGTTAAAATTTTGACTAGTATTGAAAAGAAAAATGTCCCCAAAAATCTTTGGATACATTTTAAGTTCAGAATATTAATTTAAAAATTAGCTAAAGTAATGAACTAGCCTTAAAACGTCAAAAAGTGATTTTTTTACCAACTAAATCTAGTGCACTAGTCATAAATTTACAAAAATCAATTTAAAATGTCTTTTAAATGCTATATTTTATTGATTTCCTATGCGTTCTAATCAAAATAATCGTGTATTAGCCCGAAAATCAATCAAACGATACATATTTCCTCAAAAAAAAATCTTCAAACTAGGTTTTTGATTCGACAAATCTAGTAAAGCTAGGAGCGTCCTCGGTGATAATGACAGCTATGGTTGAATTATTGACTTTTTGGCTTTTATGGGGATAAACCAGAGATCGAAGCCGGATTTTTCAGTTTAACTCAATTTTTTCGACTTTTTTGATAGAAAAAAGCCATTTAGCGCCCATTTCAATTATTTAAATTGAATTTTACATGCTTTACTATGATTTTTTTTCAGCATTTAGCTATAGTAAGCTCAGAATTTCAAGTTAACCGATTTTTCTATAAAAAATTAAAAAAATGGAGTTTAGCCGAAAAAATCGGCTTCTATCTCTGGAATAAACACTTAAAACGATGCATTTAGAAATAATAAGATCCAGTGAATACCAAATCTAACTTTGTTAAATCTTAAATTTATTGTCAACATTTCCCGGTCCCGATGAATCCCAGGATCGGGCCATCGAGATCGAAATTGAAGATCCTGATTACAAGGTTATATGTGCTTCAGCGTTATAGAATAATCAAAAACTATAAAACTTTATAGTTTAAAGTTTTCTTAATACCATTTCCAATTTTATATAACGTTGGATTTCCACACCAAAAAGGGGCGAGCTTTTTTTAAAAATTTTACATTTTTGACTATATATTTTGTTATACTCAATGAATCTTACTGAAACTTTTACAGATTTTTAATCGTAGTTGTATCAGTAAACGCTGACCGAAAAATTTCAATCTCGATTTCGATCCCGGAATTTTGAGAAAGCATAATTCTGTGTCTACTATCTTTATAATATTAAAAGATCCAAAAACAAAACTATACTTAACAGAAAGTACTAAAGTATGCCCGTAATTGATTACGGGATATCATACTCGTATTAACGTAATAAGATTTGGTAACATCATTGAGTTGAACTGAATCTAGATCAGCAGGACTTATTTTAGTGGATAAATAAGATCATTGTTATTGTTTAAAAAAGTTTCAGATCTAAGGTAAAAAAAAAACTAGCCACCATTTTGAAAAAGGACATGACTTAGGAAAATTCTATATTGAATATATTTAACTGTGAAGGTTAAAAAACCTAAAATTTACTTAGTGCATACAACACTATTGATTTTTTAAAAATGATCTTAAAAATAGAATTATGTTCAATGAATTGAGAAAATTATGTTCAAAAATATATTTCTCAGGAAGAGAAAGAACAAAAAGAAAGTTAACCGGCTTAAATATTTTTGCATGCTTAAAATTGAAATTTTAATCTCTTTAAGTTGAGTCGACTCGAACCCTATCGACTTCGAGCTCTGGTAGTATGTATATAATATCGAAAACATGTACCATGTTGTAGAACTTGTTTGGGAAAATACTGGACATTTTAATAAAAACAAAACTTTAACAAATAATTATATAATAACTTATAACATACTTTATACGAGCAATCTACCAAAATAACCTTAAGATTCCTCAAAGTGAGGTTTTTGTCTGAAAAACTTAGTACAGTAGCTCATTAAACCCCCAAAAAATAGGAATAAAGCCGAAAACTTTCCTTAGACTGATGTTTTAACATGGACATTACTTAACTACAACTAAAAACGCTGAGGAAATCTCTAATCCATTTCCAAAAACCGATTGTTTAAATAAATCAGTCAAAATTCAATGAAAATTATTATATATGATCAAATTTATATTTTAATACTCAACAAACACTTCAAAATGATATATTTTCACATTGTTTAAACTTTACAAGTCACAATGGCTTCAAATAACATATTTCTTACAGTTCATTCCTCAAAAAATTTAAAATATTTGAATAATTTTTTTTTCCAATAATCCCAATAATCCCAAATAATCCCAAATAATCCCAAATAATCCCAATAATCCCAATAATCCCAAATAATCCCAATAATCCCAATAATCCCGAATAATCCCAGCATATTTTTGAGCGTCCACGCCTTGGATTTATGCTGGTTATTTAAGGTATTTGTCGGAAATAAAATGAACCGTACTTACACAAAGTTAGCAAATAAGCAATTAAAAATCATGCTGATTTAATTTGAACTATAAACTCTTTTGGGCATTGCTTAATAAATAAATGATTCCTCAATATCCTTCACCAAATGGTTAAACAAAATGTAAATTACATTAAACGTTAAATTACAATTACTTTAATTACTATAAACTCATTCAAGGAGTTAAAAGAATTTAAAACTTTCTAGACAGTGAAATTCTTTAAATCCATCGTCTTCGTTCAGTTTAGCACCCAAATAATTTAAATTTTTCATTCATTTAATTTTCTAATAATATCTTTAACGTCCTTCACAAGCACCCTGATCACTTGAAAATCTGACAAAAGTGGCTGAAATTTCTCCTCATCATGTCAACTTTAAAAGAATCCTAAATCCTTCACAAATCCCAAATTTATCCTCTTTTCAATCCCAAAAGTGCAATCGTTTTTATTTTTTAATCCTAAATTATACCGTAAATAGGTATTCAATATGTACAGCACTCGACTTCGACCATAATTCTCAATATTTCAAAGAGATCTATTGATTACATTTTTTCAACCCTTTCATTCAGTTGAAAAGTTTAGGATAAAGGAAATGGAAACAAAAAAGTTCATTTTCATTCGTTTCTTTCAACTCAAAAGCAGCTATTCTCCTTTGAGCAATGCAAAAAAGTGTGAAAAGAAATGAGAATAAAGTAAAAATTACAGAAGTCCTCGTGTTATTGATCGAGGGACTTAAGCGCATTTTTGTGTTGGCGATCAGTATTTGACTATTTAATTATAATGAGTGCTTATATAAAAAGTTAAATTTATCATTTAACGGTTTTTTGAAATTCAAATTTTACAACGGCTAGAAAAAAATGAAATTATAGAGGTAAAATTGAAATTATAGAGGTATAATAAAATTTGAGCAGGTTACACTGAAAACAAAAAGAAAATAATTTATTATAGCATAAATAAATGGTTTAAAGACTTTTAACCACTCGATGGGCCGATAAATCGATAGTAAAGAAGCGAATAAAACAAACCCGAGCTCTCTTCGATGTCTGGTTAAAAAGTTTTTCTTCACCCGAGCAGCCGAACAGCCGAACAAAGTGTATTATTAAGCTACCTTTTAGAAATAAGTTTCAAAAATGCGCTAAAAAGTCAAGGAATTAGAAAGGAGACTTAATGGAGGCTAGTAATTAAAATCAAAAGCGCATTTTTAAGGATTAAATGAGATTAAATAAAATGAGTAAATTAGGAAATGAAGAATGGGAATTTTTTGAGGGCTTCTGAATGGAAAACAAGGAAGAAAGAAAAGTTTGTTGACTTTTTGGTACTGATGGTGATGATGATAATACGAAGTGGGGAGTTTATAGGAAGTGCAGTTATAAAATTGGAAGGAGTTCATATCAAATTGCTGCAACTTGAGAAGGAAGAAGACATTCACAAATATAATGCGAGTCCTCGTCATATCAACAACAATCTATGATTGATACATTGGCATTTGGTGGGACTCAAACCCATGCCCTCTCAATAGATGGTTAAACATATCCTAGTCAGCCACAATAGCCTTGATCTAGGACTGGCAGATTCGCCTACATCAGTTCGATTATACTCTATTCAGACACAACAGTAAGCTTCAATGAAACATTTTTAAAATACTTGAAAAACAAACTTTTTATTTTCTCAGAAAAAATTTCAACTCCCTTGAGCGCAGCCTTCAGGCTTGAAAAAAGGAAACAAAGCAAAATAGAAAATGAAAGTTTTTGTTTTTTAAACAGGAAGCTTTCAAGTTTATTCTTTGTGGGCTTTGTGAACTTTAAAGAACAGAAAAAGGAAAGGAATTTTGGTTTAAGGTTATGGTTGTTTTTAGAATTTTTATGTGTAGATTAAAAAGGGTTTTATAAGTTGAAACGATTAAATTCCAAGTTTAGTTCCAAGAATACCCCCAAATGGGACTTTTACCCTGTTCATCTTCAAAAATTTAACAAAACAAAAAGTAACGTCGTAAAAAAAGTCATTTGCCATAACAAATAAAAAGATTTAAAATTGTTTACGATTTCATTTCTCGGAAGTACACGATTTGAATAAAGCGATAAAATGTCAGGTAATAAGAACGCAGCATATCCAGAGGTCACAAAGTCGTCGACTTCCCAAGTTAAATTGAATGTACGTTCGTGCCTCAAGAAAACTTTGTTTTTGTCGGATTAACAATGAAAAAGTCAGCAAAACAATTCAATCTTGAAGGAAAGGTCTGACTTTCTCTATTTAATGATCTCTATTGAAATTAAATTTCAAAGAAATGATTTTTTACCTTCATCTGTTTCTTCGAGGATGTCATGAGATGAATAAAGGCGATTCTTTTCGAAGTAAATTTTATTTCGCTTGAAAAGTTTTTTTTTCTTTTGCAAAAGAATTCCCCAAATCTAATAAATTGATTTCTCAAATGATTTTTATTTTAAAGCCACGTCGTTTTTTTCTCTCGACATTGAGCAGATGTATCAATGGTGCTAGATAAAGAATGTTCCAGAGTTGGGGATAAGCAATGAGGTTAGATATGGTTTAAGGGTTTATTCGGAGAATTGTATGGATTAATTTTCCCCACCTCGATGGAACGATTGCGTCCATTTTTTTTTAAATAATAAACCTAATCTACATAACCTAGTTAAAAAGTGCATGATTAAGTATTTGAAACTGGAAATCAACAAACAAAATTGTTTAAAATTCTTTTAAATGTTCAAAACAATCAAAAATTATAAAAATCATTAAAAATGGTCAAAATTCACCAAAAATGTCCAAAAATGATCAAAAAATGTTTTAATCCGTATCCTTGGATATAATTTGTAATTCAAGTTACTATGAACCTTGGGTGAAGATTGAGCTTAGTGATGAATTAATTAAGGACCAACGACTAGGTTTCATCTATTTTGACACATTCTCAATGTTCATGAGTTTTAAACCTACTTATGGCTCATGTTGTCTGGATGAATCATAAAACTCACCCAGGATGATCCTTAAAAGCTCATTGGGGTTATTATAGACATCTCTTGAAACCTTATGACGTCATTTATGAACAAACCCAAATGACACAAGTCGGTTAAGCGATCAGAAATCCGGTACCAAGCCGGTGTGACTCTGGTACTGGATTTAAATCGAAGCCAGCACCGTGCCAGAGTCATACCGGATTTATATTCGATTAACCGACCATTCAGGAAACCCTTTTTGATTTCCAAAGACTTTCTCAACTCTGCAACCCACCAGTTGTGCAAAGTAAACGAACTCGAAATAAAGATTCTTCCTTGTGTCCCAAATGGATGCTCAAATGAGCTCAAGCTTCATTTTTATTTTACTTCATAGCCCTTAAAAGATTGTCTTTAAATAGAAAGTTATGGTACACAATTTGCCACAATTTATAAAATAATTTTTGGATATCTTCTTGCTTTGTTCATTTTACTGTATTTTATTTTTAAAGTTTTTATTCTTTTTAAGATTAAATTACGATGAAAGCATCAGCATCAGCGTACGATGCTATGAAAATGCTGAATGTAGAAAAGAATTTACGATTGTTTTTGTTTAAACATTTTTGTGTAGAAAAGTTTTGAAATGGAGAAACAAAGTTAATTGAAATTTTACTTGTAAAAATGGATGACTTGAGTTTCATGGAATGAATTTAATTAAGTTGAAGCTTTTCTGGAGGATTCTGTGAGAATTACGGGGAAAGTATCATATGTGATGATGTATCTATGGTTAGCTAGACAGGCTTTGGTAGTTGGAACTAATAATTTAAAATCTACCCTATTATATAAATCTAATGTACCATCACTTTTTAATAGGAATTCTTTTCTTTCCTTTTTTAGGCATTTCTTATTTAAAATTAATTTGTAGAATCTTTTGGAAAATCTTGTTTGTCTCGTTTAAGATGAATTGATTTACAATCAATAACAAAGATTCGAAGAAAATGTGAAAAGTAATGCGTAGTATTTTTCGTTCATGTCAAGGTTGACTTTTGTCTATAGAAATATCTAGAATTTTAATTTAATTGAGTGAAAATTCTCTCGAATTTACTTTATTTTTAAAGATCATGTGGGTTGGTTATTTAAAGGAGGCAAACTTTACTTGTTATTTCCTTAAAAAAATGTCAATATTAAAGCTCTTCAAGGTTATGAAGGCTAGAAAAATAAATTTTAATATCTTCGTGCTTTTGAGATTCTTAAAATTAATGAACGTTCTCCTAGGGAGCAAAGTAAACCATCAATCACCTCATTTAACCCCATAAGAAATAACCAGCATTGCTAGAAATCATCATTAATCCACTTTGTGTCACACGATGAAGAAATTTTTCATTTTCTCATATAAAACAAATCCACAAATATAGACAAAAGACATAAACATGTACAAAAGATTATTCAACTTACTTTTGGCACAAAAATCAGCAACATACTGAGAAAACAACAAAAGATAACGGCAAGTGCTACAAAAGCATATGATGCGTCCTGTTGTGATGCCTGTAAATTAAAGAAATGATTCATTTGAGCAATTTTTGTTGAAATTAAATTTTCATCTTCATTGTTCAGGATTTATGTATACTTACAATAACCATTGCTACAGGTGCTGTGATTAAACATAGTACAGCTATGTTGTAGATGCTCATGCCAACATAACGTGAATCATTTATCTGCTTGACTTTTATTGATCTCGTCTCGTATGCGAGAAATAATCCGAAAACGAGTATAAGACCTTTAAAGCCATAGATAACACCTGCAGAATAAAAGAAAACAGAGATAAATGTTAGGTGTATGACGTACAGACAAAACTTAAAATCTCTCAAATTGTATCTCATTTCACATGGATTTTTCGTATGAATAGCTATAATTGAAATTAAATTCCTCTAGCTTTTCACAAAATGCAACAAGATTGAAATCTAAAATGTGAATCTTGCCAATGGCATTTAATGTCATTATCGACTTTCTCGTCTTGCTCGATGCTATTTGATTTAGGTGGAATGAAGCTTAACAAGCAAGTTCCGGAATAAAAGTTGAGTGAGATTTTAGATGTCGATGTGCTTTTTGGATATTGTATAAAGGTGGATGAGCTATGCTATGGATCATTTGCAAAGGTAGTCAACATGTTGACATTTTGTCATTGACACTGAGATTGTGAGAAATAAGGAGTCGTTTAGGAGATGACTTTAAACATACAATTTTATATTGAATGATGATGGTTTTATCAAGCAATAAGTCCGAAAGACTCTATTATAAAGGAAGTGCATACCAGATCGTCAGTCTTGAGCTACACTCTTTTGTACTATCCTCCTAAGTTATCTTGGAGGTTCAAGGTTAATTTACATGTTCAAGATGCAATCTGACATTAATAAAACCCAAAAGTAAGTGCATGACAGCGTATTAGATTCCTAGAAGGCTAAGCACCTAGCTAAGTTTATGAAACAAAAGAACACAAAGTACAGTGTTTAAATCAATTGATCAAAAAAGCTAAGGGGGAAACGACTTGATGTGAAAAGTTTTGATAGAAAATTTTCCGTCAGCTTTTATCTGATTCGTTAAATTTTTGACCGACATCATTTATGAACAGCTTCTAGTGGTTTCTTGCTATATTAGGAAGTTCTAAATTGTTGAAATGGATAAATAAGTTAACAAGCAACACAAATAAAACTTAGTTTGATAAAAAAAAAGTGTAAAATCATGGTAAAAGTGATGAAATATATAATGAATTTTAAAGTTACTAATACACTTAACATATAAGTTGCTCGAATTTGCTTTGCATATTTAAATCTCAGATGACAGTTACAAAACATAAACAAAAAGTTTTTTATTCGAAAGGAACAAAATTAATAATTAAAAATCTGTGGTCGTGGATTTTATAGATATAATTTATTAATCATGTTACGTGAGTAAAATCGACACGAAAGGACAAGAATAAATAAGTGATACACTCAAAGATCCTAAAGTTTGAAGGGAAAAAAGAGGGAAAATTTATTAACTTCCGCGCGTAATACGTGTAATAAGAAGAAATGTTTATTTTTATTTATTAATTAATTGCTTTTACAACTTTAAATAATTAATATAACTTCACTCAATTAAATTAAAAGTTCTTTAATATTTCTCTGTCATTTTATATCATTTTTTGTAGTTTACTGGTACTGGGTTGTATTTTAATTATTTACGTGTCACGTAAATTTAATTTTAAATCTCAATTGGCAGACCAATGTCTACAATTAGTGATAAAATGACTAAGACAAGCCTTTTTGTAACTAGAAAACAAAATAAACTTTCAAAACCTTCTCTCTTGATTGAACAGTCAAAAGACTTGGTTATTGAAAACTCTAGTGATCGCTTAGATACGTCAATGGATTTTGCTAATTGTTTGATGAAAAACATTAACAACATTCGTAAAATGATTGTTAATAGAAGTGATCCATACGATATATTTGAGAAGATCGTCGATGAGCTATCAGGAAATTACATGAAATGTTGTGAAATTATTAAAAAATGCGACGAAAATATCTTGACTCGTTGCAACGATCTGAATGATCAAGTTGTCTCATTAGAAAATGATATGATGAATAAAATCAATAATGTTCAACAGCAATCAGATAATGATATTTATTCTATTGACTTGACTCAGAAATGTAAGGACGAAGTCAATATTCTATGGATAACTTTTACGGACCAAGCTGAAATTAATGCTCTACGAATGAAGAATAAGTCTGATCTGATTCAAGAAGCTAAGAAAATATTCAGTCGAATGAATATTAAGCTCAACAAACCTCACAAAACAATCATAGATGTCCTAATCCAAAAAGTATCAGTCAAGACTGATAACTCTTATGAAAATGAACTGATATTGGGAATTAAATTCACAAACTCAATTGCTGTAAATTATATGAAGCGTCAGATCACGGATTTTCGTAAAAAAGAGTTCATTAATGAAAATTTTGATTTGATTCGTTACAGTGTTAGGAATTTTTGGAGCTACAAAATATGGAAGTTGTTGAGAGTCTGCTACGATTTAAAAAATGCTAAATTAATTGAAAATGTTAATGTGAATAGTCAAGGCGTTACTGTGTCGTACAATAAATCAACAAATCAGCAAAATGATTTCAGACAATTGGCACAGAAGAAATTGATCAGAAATGAAAATGACTTAAATATTCTAAGGTCTGAAATTAATGATGTATGTAAAGAAGTGTCTACTTTCCAAATTTACAACGGAGAATATTTTAAATTAAACTTCTATGAACGTAAAGCTTTTAAAGATAATTTAATTTTGCTCTGTTCTAAAAATTGCAATGCTGAAACTTTTTCACCTGTTTCTAAAAGCAGTTATTCAAATTTAATTAACTGTCCTACTTCTTCCAGTAAAATAATTTAGCTACTTTTGTTCTTTTTTTTTGCTTGATAAAGCCATTTTTTTTATTTGCATTAATCCTGAAATTGATTCTTTGGGCCATTCATCTGAATGTGTTTAGTAGTAAAAATTCAATTAAGTTTCGATTTTTTTTTAAATGCTTAGCATGCATGTTTACCTAAATTAAGTTATTATTAATTTTAAAATTTCCTCAAAGAAGGAGAGATAATTATGCCATATTAATTAACAGTGATTTTTGCTTAAATTGAATATCAGGTACTTAATTTTAAGTTATTAAGTTTAATTGTAAACTATCTTCTTTAAAAAACAACCGGAATGGTTTAATAAAGTTGAATTGAATTGAATTGAATTGAATTGATTCGTTAAATTTTTGACCGACATCATTTATGAACAGCCTCTAGGAATTCAAAGTTAAATTGTTTGAAAACTAGTAGAAATTACCCATCAAATTTTTTTTTCCCAACATGTTGTTTTCCCCCTTAGCTTTCGCTCATTACCCATCTCCATGTCTTATCTCCGCTCATCCATGTTTTATACAGGAAGAGAATAAATATTTTTCCTTCCAATACCCATTGTATCATATCGAGTCCGATGAGCGTGTATCAAAATAAAATAGCAACAAAGCGAGAAGAAAGAGGTAGAACCCGAAAAAAAATCTCTCTCCTTTTTTCAATGAATTGTTGTGCAACAGCAGCCAGTTGGAAGAATTTATTGAGCCGGAACGACATAAATGCATCTCATGCTCTCACTTTTTACTCCCCCGAATAAATGTTCATCGAGCAGATTTAGCGTGTTAGAGAAGCTGTTTTCATAACTAATTGCTAGTCATGTACACGAAGCTTTATTTTTCCTCATTGCAGAAATTTTTGTTTTTGTTATTGTTTAAAAACTCCTTGCTCTGCATTGTGCTTGTTAAGCGAACAGCAAGCAGCAAATAATAAAAATATATATATTTTTCTCAGGGTAGAGGACATGAGAGACGGAGAAGTGTGTACTTGTTAAATGTCACATTATAAAATGGTTACCAATTTTCTCATTTTCTGACTTTATATCTGCTTTTAAATATATTTTAGCCCAGATTGCTTATGGCCATTTGAGAAATTGTTGTTGTTAATTTTTATTATATTTTACTGTGTTGTATGCAGCACAAGATTTTTAGTGTGTTGTCTCGGATACACATTAATTTGTTTTGGGAGAAAGATTTTTGCTGGACCTAATGAATGTCATTTGTCGTTTGCAACATGCAAGTTTTTGTGGAGAAAATTTAAGGAAGTCAGAATGTCATTTTTAGGAGCTTATTGATGTTTGACTTTTGATTTTTCGATCATTTTGTGCTTGTTTGAGTTCTCATGCTGATGTTTGAAAAAAAATAATTTAAATGTTGATGAAAACTCAAGGGGATAACAACATGATGGGCATTTTCCATCAAAACTTTATCTCAAAATGTTGCTTTTTTCAAGAGTGCGGAACTGATGAAATGGTCAAAAATGACCAAAATGTAATTAATCAGTTCTGCACCCTTGGTATTCCTTTTATTAGAAACAAACATTCTCAGAACTCCCCCTTGAAAATGCGCCTTAAACCTCATTACCCTTAACCGTTCCGAACTTATTCATATTTCATAGTTTCAAGCCATGAAAATTTTTTTTTTAATAATCTGCAAGATTTCTCATGAGTTTCACAGTTGTTGCACAGCACAAGTGAAATAATGAAGAAAATTTGTTGACTTGAATGCAAGCTTATTTTAAATTAATTTTTTAATGCATGCAATAAATTAAATATTCTTGCTCATGGATAGTTTTGGAGTGAACTGGTACATATTAATTACCGGATTATGTTGAAACAGAAAATTAATTTATTAAATAGTGTCTATTTAGGAAAGTAGGGCAGTTTTGAATGTTGAAGCTTTTTGGTTTTGTGAAGTTTTGTTGTTTTTAAAAAGCTTTCCTAGGGCAGAGGTATTGAAACGAAAGGGGATTTGTGTTAAAAATGTCAAATTATTATTAAAATGTAACCCATTTTGGAGAGGATGCCTTTTATGACTCTTTTTAAAAAATAATTTTTATCACCCTAACCCCCCCCCCCCCCCCTCCTCTAATACCGCCATCTTCAAATACCTCCAAAAACCCCCAAATACCGCTAAATAACCCCAATTACTGCCTAGATTCCGATTTTGGATAACAACTACTTTAATCTCAGCTAAGGCCTTGATTATCGCACTCAAAAATTTTTATAATGATTACAAAATCACCAAGACGTGTGGTCTTTAGGAATACTACAATTAAAAATAGTCTTATTGTACATAATGTTCCTGCTTTCGACACCACATTAATTGCAAAGGATAAAGTTTTATTTTTTCATACAATTTTAGAGAGCAATTAAATTGGCATAAATTTATGGTTCAGAAGTTTTGTTGCATTGTACATACAAGGTTCGTATTTTTGTGTGTCGTTAAAAGCATAAAAATTCATTTAAAACTTTGTCCATTATAATAGATTTTTTGCCGTTTTCCACACTTCCTGCTCTATAGATTCCTTGAATATTTTTAAAATACAACAACAATTCCATAATTGCTTTAGTGAGAGCAGAAAATAAAAACTTTTTATGTACAATTATTCGCACAATTTTTGAACTTGTTCGCCTGTTTTCTTGTCCAACGGAAATGTCTCGTTGCTATTTCCTTTCTTTTGTTCCTCATTTTTTTTTCGATTTCTCTTTCATGCTCCTTAATTTCTTTTATTTCATTTATCACGAGGAAATGAGCAAAGAATGAAAATTGAGATAAATAATTATGACATCGAGAACAGCGATAGTTGAGAAAGTGCAATGGAAAATGGGGATTAAAATTGTTTTGTGCTGATTCCTGCAGGCAAAAGTTTTTTTTGTTTTAAGAGAATTGTTTAAAAAATTTCTTATAGTGCAATTAATTTTGCTGCTATCGAAAAGTTCAACGTTGATTGTAATTCGATGGTAGTTAAGATTCCTTTTTTTGTCCTGAAGAGGAAGTTTTGATTTAATTTCAATGACTTATTAAAAATTGATTTAAGTTTTGAATTTTCTTCAAAAGAATTTTCAAAAGTTTTTGTTATTTTGAGGTTTGACAGCTGTGTATTCTGTTGAGAGGTTTTTAATAGTATTGCACACTAAGTTGCGTGCTAGTACTTGTCAGCATTTTATCAATTGATAGTTTAAGTTCTCATTGTGCCGAATTTCAGATAAACTCTTATAGCTCAGTGGTGAGAACATGCGACTCGAGTTTTGCGTGCGATCGTGAGTTCGATTCGCATTTCTTCAAGTTTGCTCTTCCTGCTTAATATTTAAATGTAATGTTCCTTAAGTGTCAGGATAAGGTTTTACCAGGATCACCTTTAGATGCGCAGATACTTTAGACAAACTACTTACTCAAGTTGGTCCCAAAAAGCTCTGTTGAAATCACATTAAACCTTAAGTGAGACAAACATAGTGACGATAATGACATTATTCTACTAGGATCATCTTAATTTGACACCATTGTGGTACTGCTCAGTTCTAATTTCAATCAGCTATTCAAACAAAATAAAACCGCAACTTCCTTAATCAAAGTTACTTACCAAACACCAATGCAATATCCCTTAAGATACAATTCATTAAAAATAATATCCCAAATTCCCAAACGAAAATGAAAACTTCATTAAACTCACCTAACCACACGGAATTGTTGATGCTTTCACAATGCTCAAGTTCCGGTCGAATTTTAATATCATCATTTGATGACAATGGATCCTCAAGAGGAAAACTTTCGAGTCGCCTCTCAAGCGGATCCTGAAGTTGCCATGTTAATAGTATCACAATATCAACTACTAATAATCCAGATACCATCGTATAAAGTTTCCACGGTTCCACTTTCTTCTGCTTTTGTTGAATTTTTTTTTAAAAAGAAAAAGAAAGAATGACAAGAAAAATTTTAGATGGGATTAAAAGATTAAGGACATGAAATAATTTTCCACAAAAAAAAAAGTCGTGTATCAGATAAGATAAAATTATTTTTTCTTACCTTCGGATCTGTTTTTGCTTTCGTTGTGAATCTATGAACACGCCACACTTTACTAAACATCGCACCGAATGCTAACGTAAATCCCATTGATAAAATCCACGCTCGTGCTTGACAAATCTGTGAAATGAGAAAAATGGAAATGGAATTAACATAACAATACTGGATATAAATATGATTGAAAAGATGAAAAATCTACCGAAAAAAATGAACAAAAAGGTGTGAGTTTAAGGATTATTGTCAAGAGAAATTTTCTCCGATGCTCATCATCAGCACGTTACATGCCACAAGGAAATAAAAATCGATGATTAGTCATTTGGAAAGTTACATACATGAAGGAGTATGAGGGATAATATTTAGGTCAAGAAAATTATTTCTTCATGGATTGATGATGAGTTTTAGGTAAGAGATTGAAGACATTCCATAACATAGCATTAAAGGGCATGTTCGATGTTGGAACATGTCAAAAATTTTAGACATAATCGTGTTTAAATCATTGAAAGATGGGAAATATTTTGGGGATGAGGTGGATCTTGAATGATTGATTTAGGTTTGAAAATTGGAATTTTTGGGAAACTTAAAAATCATTTGTGTTTAAATTTAAGCTAGTGAATGATGATTGACTGTTTTTGGGGTATGCAGTGAATATTTTTGGCATTCAAAGGTTCGGAACTGATCAAAATTATTTTTTAAAATATTTTTGGGTCATTTTTTGCTACTTTTTTGGTCAGTTTTGATAATAATTTGATGATTTTTGATTATTTCAATAAGTTCCATACCCTTGATTTCATCCCTGGTTATTGCATGATTCCAGTAAATCCCAAGCCAATACTCAGTCTAGCAATGAAACCCACGTAATTTTTTCCTGCCTTCAATTCTCAAAAAGCAGTAAAAATTGATAAATAACAGCACACCCACGAGTTTATTTCCATTAAAATTCACATTCTTGTTTCTTTGAAGTCTCAACCTACGAAATTATTAAGATCCTCTTCCTACATTTAACATTTTTAATTTTGGATTTTCACAACCTTCAAAAAAAAAAATTCCACAATTTTGAAGCTCAAACAAAAATAAGAAGCAAAGTACGACAAATTGATAGCGGCAGGGATTATTTCCATTCCTCAAAACATACAAATCTTCACAACGCTCATCTTCCCATTCATTCACTTGAGTTATTATGCTCTCATGTTCCTTTTCATTTCTTTCTATCTTATTTCATCTCAATTGTGAAGAAAATGAATCGACTTGAAGTGTTTTGTTGCTTCCTAATGCCTTCCAATTTATTTATACTTTTTACATTTCTAAGCTCCTTTTCATTTGCCAGCCCTCTTATTACTGCAGTGGTCATGGCCTCTATGAAAATGCATAAATCTCAAGAGTATAATATGATTTTTGTTATGTCAGTGCTCGTTATTTTACTCTTGATGGATGGAATATCGGATTGTAATTTATTTGAGAAATTTTGATGCAACTAAGGAGGTTATTAACCTTTTATGATGCTTTCAGTCCAGACCATTGAAAATGGAGATAAGAATGAGAAACGCGTTTGAGTGCCGCAATGGCAAAATATCCTGTATTTTAAAATTAAATGTAATCCAGAGCTGCACTCGGGGGGGTTGTCAGAGGTAGGAGGGGATGGGGGGTCAGATGAGGTCCGATGTGGTCCGGAGTACAATTATAAATCTGAGGCAACGTAAAAATTTTTTTGACCTTCTGGAAATATTTTCTGGCAACGTCCCTGGCTACACTTGAGCGTTTAGCTGCTCATTAGAGTTTAAAAAGTATGAAAACGCCAAACTTCCAGCTCAAATCTAAAGCTTTAATTAAAAGGTGGAATCCAAACCACTTCTTTTATGACATAACAGCCTCTAATCTGTGAAGTAGGTTGAGAATTTCTTAACCTATCCAAAAGTCCAATTCTCGTAAAACCCTTCCTTTCCCCCTTTCTTCCTCCTCCCCAATCTCACTCACACACATCATTCAAATGCAGATAACACGAGTATTCAGACTAAGAACATTCAATTTGCTTTGACAATAATAGCATTCTAATTCATCCATTCGCACTTATAAATTAACTTATAAGGAAATACGCATGTATATAAACTCTTTCCAACACACTTCATTCCTATTTAAAAATGTTATTCGCAATTCATTCAAGTATCTTAATATCATCATTTCCGCAACACAAAGCATACACTGAATTGTATATAGCTTCGAATACAGTGTTGGAATAAATAAATACTTTATTCAGCTCCACACACATGTACATGGCATACAATAAAAATTGTATTATATCGAAAATTAATCTGATTAACACAACAATCGATGATAATCATCTAAACAAACATGTTAAATGGATAAAAATTATTATTTATGCTGCTTCTTTTTTTTCGTGGCTGTTAATGTGTGTGTGTCTGAGCACGAAGTGTTGACAATAATGGCAACTGTTTAGGATGATGGCAGTCAGACTGAATATTAAGAACGAATGTGTGTTGACTTAGAATAATGAAAAACTCGTTAGAATGAGGCTTTAATTTGCCACGTGTTACGCTTTCTTATCATTTTTCTTTTGCATACTTTGTCATGAGTTCTGGGGGCTCATGAAAGGAAGTTTTCATTTTGGAAATTTTTGGGGGGAAAGCCCAAGATTCATTCAAATAGATTCACTTTGATTTGATTGGTTTGGTCTCCGAAAGACCAAATCCTTGCTTTCATCACTTATCTGAAGCTGTATGATGCTTTGTACTTTGCATAAAGTCAGTAGCTCTTATGTTGCATTCCAAAGTACATGAGTGTGCCTAGATAGTCTCACAAGTGTAATCCTAGCCAACAAAGTCAATTGTTTAAAGAATATCGATCTGCAAATGATTGTAATTGCCTTAATCAACTCTCTGATTCTTCTAACCTCAACCACAACCTACAACAAAAATTCACCAACAAATATCCATATCCTTGGCATCTGATCCTCTCTTTAAGACTCCCATTTAAAACCATTCAAGTAAATTTCCTCATAAATTTTCCAAAAAAAAAGCACATGAAAACATCAACACAGTCAGAAAATATATGAGTTATTCCATAAAATTGTGTATATCTAACACAAACACGTGTAAAATAGGCACAGATGTTGCCAGTGTTTATTGCATGGAAAAAGTACATTGTAATTAGAAAAACAAAAGAAAGTTATAACTTTGACTGGATGTAGACAAGGAAAAAGTTTTGCATTTGAATTGTAAGCAAATTAGCAAGATGTTTTGTTGAGCATCAGATGGCATATTAAGTTAAGGGGTTTTTGGGAGTAATGACTCTAATGTCATGATGATTAACGATGATAAAAAGGTTAAGGAATAGATATAAGGAAATAGCTTTGATAATTTATTCGAGGATGTTCTGTTTGTGGGATGGGGTTGATTTTAGAAGGGAAGGGGAAACACAAGGTGCTTCGAAACAAAAATTAAAAAGTTTGAAGTTTTAAAGACATTCCCGAAGGACATCTAATGAACGAAGATCTCAAAAACTTTCCGGGGGGAAAACAACATGATGGGAATTTTTTTTTAAAAGTTGGTTTAAAACTCCTCAAAATCCCATCATGTTGTTATCCCCTCGATTTTTTTAACATTCTCACAAGTTACAATTCATCTCTAATCTGTCAAAGCCAAAATATCTTTTAAATATCATTAAACTGCTGAAACATTTCCACATTAAAGCCTTTCTTCATGAATATTCATTAAGTTAAGAACATCATGGGCAGTCTAGTCCCTCCCATTAACCACTCAACAAACTTTAAGTTAAATAAGCAAACTAATGGGTCGAAAGTGAAAATATCAAAGTGGAAAAAGTTCCAAAAACTTGATATTCTCTCCTCATTAAATAGAAAGCCAGAAGAAAAATTACAGCAAGCATCCATCGAACGATAACTAATTGGATTTTTATATTCTCGAGTTCTTCTTGTTTTGCTGTTTTTGTTTTTCTTTTTTGGGTAAATTTTTCTTCTTTTATTGTTTTGCTTCTTTCACTCTAGTGACGATTTTGATAGGAAAATTCTGTGACTTCATTTGAATTTGCGAATAATGATTCCTATTAGTATTGAGGAATTTTCCAGAATTTTCTTAAAGTATCTTTTATTAAATTACTTAAATTTTGAATATTGACGCTGTACCCTATCATAAAAAATAGAAAATCTTCACTACCAACACCGACTTCCCTTCCACCAACAAAACATTACATCACATCCAATCATCCCCCTAACTTAATTTCCACCATAGCATCAAAGAAGACCCATTTGATCCATCAGTACATAAAGAAGTGAATATTGATCGAGAAAGGCAAAAATTAATGAAAACCAAAGCAGCTCTATAAAGTTTTGGCCTCAAGCAAGCCCAAAGTATCGAACGAAGGAAAACTTTTTTTTTTCGAAAAAACCATAAAAAAGAAATTAATATTTGACTTTTGCTTTGCTTTCATCTATTTTTGTCGACAAGATGAGAGTTGACGATGATACGGAAATATTTTTATGATTTTATTAAAGTTGGATGTTTTACAGACATTTTGGGGAGTGAGGGAAGTTGGAGAAAAGATTGAAGGACAAACTTTAAAGAGAATGTGATGAGAAGAGTACGAGATGAGATTTGTGGCATGAGAATAAAGCTTTATAAGATGAAGATGTGCTAAATCAGTGATGTAACAACTTTAGGACGACGGCACACTAGTGAATCGTAAAGGATGCTCAGGTCTCCAGTGAACTTAATGGTGGTAATGGACACATTCACGTTAATAATTTGTGGGGAGAAGTCAAAGATTAGTCAAAAAGTATTATTTTTCACGTTACAAAATTTACGAAAGGACCCATTAAAATTGATAAATTGTCAGAATTAGAATTAATTCTCAAAAAAAAATTATTTCTCCTGAAAAATCAGTCGTCGCAAAAAATCAAAACAAGAAGCCTTATTAAATCATTTTCATCATTTCTACAGCTACTAGGCTTCTTATTCTTATCATACTGTATGATACTCATCCACATCTTCTATATATTTTATTCATAGAAGCACATAAAAAGGTTTATCAGATGTGATGAGAATGTTTTCCACATTTTCACATATTTTCTTGAATTTATTTTCTTAGAAAAAGAAATGTTGACAAAATTAGGGCATGGTTTGTTTGTAAATGACGTGTCTAAATATTTTACTGGGATGAGAAGGATTAGGGCAAGGTAGAACTAGGATGGAGCTAGTGTAATTTTTGCTGAGGATTGCAAGCTGATTTTCACTTAATATATCAATCTCATGCTACGGAAAAATCCGTTATTTTTTGCTTTGAATTTCAAAAAACCGTTTAATTTCCATGAATATTTCTTGCAAACACTGGCAAAACCAAGGCTTGGGCAAACGATTCTTATTCTTAGCTTCGTGTTTAGCTAAGTTTAGCTATAATCATCCAAGAAAAATACTAGAAATTAAATATTAATGCTCAAAATCTTAAAATTGACAAACTTTTAACGGTTTTAAAATATTCAAACGCTAGGTCGACTAAATTCAAACATGTCGAAAAAATTCGACTCTGAAATGTCCGTAGCATGATCAATCTAAAGAATGAAAGGAGGTCTAGCCATGCTATTAGAGTAGGCACATAGTCAGGAAGTGGTTTTTAGAGCTTCTCGGAGTACCTTACTTCAAAAATAAACAAAATTTAATTTTTTAAATTACCATTGAAGGAATCTTAATTGTTGAGTTCCATAAATTGCCTTTAATTTGAATGCTGAAACTCAAATTTTTCGTGGATATAGATTTTGACACCCAACCACAATTCTTTTGCTGTCCTTCTTCGGTTATATGAAAAACGTCATTTCCGAATGACACCAAAAAAAGACTTTAAAACTCCTTTCAATTTCCTCAACTTTTTGCATGAAAAATTACACAAAACAATGAACAACTTTTTTAAAGCACAGAAGTGTTGAACAATATGAAAGAAAATATTTATTTTGGTAAATGAACAATTAACAAAAGAAGCCACACAAAGCAACAATAACAATGAAAAGAGTACAAGCGCGTGTGTTTATTTATTTTTGTGATGAAATTTCTAGAAAACCATTTTTTTTGTGAGTGACAAAAGATGATGAAACTTGAGCCACTTAAAAGAACATGAAACAAATTGTCTTCACTTGTATGCTTTCCTTTGTTCATGATGATTATTCTTTTTTTTTGTCTAAAAAAATGGGAAGGAATTTTTTCCATCTCAGCACGAAAATTGAATAAATTTAAATTGAGTTTGCATGCATTGTGTGAATGTGAAAATTATGCAAATATTTCCTCAAGAATTTGTGTCAATGCAGTGAATTTTGGAAGGATTCTCCATTTTATTATGGATTTATTTACTGATGTTGACAATGGAAATTGATAAATTCTTGGAAAATATCGATTTTAAATGAAGAATTTAAAGAATAAAGATTGGTTTAAAGGTTAAGGGATCTTGAGCATTACAACGCAGTTTCGTCCAAGTTATTAGTCTTACTAAGTAGTTCTCTTTTACAGGCTTATTGTTTACACCCGAATCTTCATGTCAGTGTGCTATTTGTCTTCCTTAATAGCCTTTGCTCCCCAAAAAGTTCAATTAATCAGTCCCAAAACCAACTCAAAACTGCCATAAATCAACCAAGGTACAAAAAGTGCCATTCACTTTAAAACATTCATATCCAAGACTTTCTAACCCATTACTCATCACAGACTTTATACAAAAAACATAATTGACAACAAAACACCAACAAACTATTTCAATATATTCTTATTCCCACTATCATTAGCACTGCTTGAGAATCAAGTCAAGACGTTCAATAAATTCTCGAAGCATTAAGCAAAAGTTTAAAGAAAAGAATGTAAAAGTCAAACTTCGTTAAATGGTTGAGTTCTCATTAATATTCCATTTAGAAAGTTCCATCTATTGACTTTCAAGGACTTTTTTTACTTCTCCTTCATGTTTTTTTTTTGTTTCATGCAAGCATTTAAACCAATGGCAAAAGGATAGACGAAAGTTTTTTATTCCTAGTCATTCACTCACTAACACGTGTGAGTTTCTAAAGTTCTCAAGTTTGTTCTATGTTGAACTATGTTGGAATGTCATGGCATTTATTTCTATGTGAATGGTTTGTGTTGTGGAGAAATGTTTATGTTATTGTCCCTTAAACCTTAATTTTTATTGATGAGTCATTGATATGACAAGTTATTCGGTAATAATGGAGAATAGACAGTTGAGTTGGGAGTTTTGGTTGAGGTCCAGTAAGATGAATTTTTCTTGGTATGCATAGCTAATTTATAAAATATGTTTTATGATCACAGTTGTGCCTGGTCAGAGTGTAGTCTTAATAATTGAATTATATCTTGACGAATCTAGTAAGTGACAGTGAGTGAGAATTGTTAGGAATGCAGACTACTTGGGTTCGATTCCCACCAGAAGCCGATCTCTTATTCATTAGATAATATTGTAGATATGACATGGAATCGAATTTTGTTTACGAAATTAAAATTAAAGCTCATTCTGTGGATCTTGAGCGTTTATTCTGCCATTATTAGCTATTTTTGTTTAAACATCTTATCGAGCTGAACTATGAATCTTGCAAATGACACAAAAGTCTTTAAAAATTAGAAACACTAAGTTAAAGCTTCTCGACTCTCATCAAAGACATTCTCACACCAAAACTAATAAATAAGCAAGGCGTATACACTCGGGATTTTTGGGATTAATCCCAAAAAAATCCCCAAAAATCCCCAAAAATCCCAAAAACCCCAGAAAAATCCCAAAAATCTCAACTTTTTTTCCGAGTGTATACGCCTTGTAAATAAGTCAGTCAGTAAATATCATCAACACCAACAACTAATAAATAATGCAATAATAAGGTCAATTTTAATTATTATTATATTTTCCTTACCTTTGGATATGTTAATGGATCCACAAATTGACCATCAATGCCTAATAGTATGACTGATACTAAACATGTTATCACACCGAATAACATTATTGTATTGCACACTGGATGTGATTGCTGAATCACTCTGTATGGAGAGATAAATTGGAATAGATTAGATTCTATGTTAAATGTTATCGTAGAGATTTTTCTCATCTGTCCTTCCTCGTAACACATGAATTGCTATATTTCTCTTTTTTTTTGGCTCAATGAGGATAAGATGGATAGACATACACAAACAAAATAGACATATGAAGACTTTTTTTCTGGTAAAATTGCTTTAGACTATTACGGACGAGATATCATTATGTGAAATGCATCTGCGATTTTTTTCAGATTATCTTTCTCAATTTTCCACATCATCGAACGCAAAAAAATTTTCATTTCCATTGAATTTTCAAATTGAGAATTTTCTGCTGACGATTCAAAATGTCAGATGTCTTTTTTTAAAAATAACTCTTCCTTACTCTTTTAAACCGCACACGTACATTTTTCTTTCTTCATTCAATTCCTTTTCGTTTGCCTCAAATAAAAAAAAAGATCATTTTGTGTGTGTTTTGTGGCTTTTATTCAGTCGGAAGAATTTTTTTAAATAATCTTTTGAGCTTTTTTTGGTCTGCTTTCTTTGGGGTTATTCGATAATGACATATACCAAAAACAAGACTCAACTTAAGACCCCCGCCTCATCCCTTGTTATATTTCATTGTTTCAAAAATCTCAAACCCCCTTCCCCACACAATCTGGTGTCTGAGAGTTCATTTGATCCTCTTTTGTCGGAATCTAGGTTCAATTCCCATGGCTCAGGCTCTAGGTTCTAGGTAGAAATTAATTTAGATGTATTACAATATGGGATGCAAATAAAATTAGTCTGAGACTACGGTAGGGTGCCCCAAGAATCCCTAGAAACCGTGCCAAGATCAGTCTGATCTCTCAACCAATTATATAAAGTGTTATTGATATGATAAGAAATCACACAATTCTTACTACATTACAGACGTCATAAGTGAACGATCCCTTACAAAAGAATGTGAATTGCTTTGGCTAGTTTATGGTGCATGCGTGTATAATTTTATGTGGATTAGAAGAAATTATGAGATTTTTTTTTGGATGGTGAAAGAGAATGAAAAGATTGAAGGTTTTTGTATGTTATATAATGAGATGAATGGGTTGGCTTTTGGTGATTTTTTTATTGAGTTTGTTGGATTTTTTGGCATGGTTTGATTTTGATCCAGAGGTCGAAGCGAGCATAGCGAAGCGAGTTTTTAGCGAGTTCGCTTCGCTAAAAATTCAACTTGCTAAAGTCGACCTGTAGCGAGAAATTTTTTTTTCTTTTCGCCTTAGCGACCTATAGCGAACTCAATTTTATTTTTTTCGCTTTAGCGAATTATTAGCGAACTTAATTTTTCAAAGTTCGCTATAGCGAACTATTGGCGAACTAGAAAAAATTTTTTGGCTTCATCTAAAGAGATGTCTGATTGCGTTTGTGAAGTATGTAATTTCATACAAAATTGCAAAAAATTATAGTTCGCTATAGCGAACTTTGAAAAATTAAGTTCGCTAATAGTTCGCTATAGCGAAAAAAATAAAATTGAGTTCGCTATGGTTCGCTAAGGCGAATAGAAAAAATTTTTTCTCGCTACAGTTCGACTTTGGCAAGTTGAATTTTTAGCGAAGCGAACTTGGCGAACCAAGTTCGCTTCGACCTCTGTTTTGATCTTTAATTTATGAACTGATTTTAAGATAACTGATAGATGCTTGGCCTACAAAATAAAAGATTAACATGGTTTAAGAAAGACCATTCAAAGATGCTAGTTCTAGACAGTAGAATACTGAAATGTATAAAGTATCAGTCCATTTAAACGGTAGAGTCGTCCATATTTAGGGCTACCATCTAATTTTCATGAAAATACAGGACTTTTGGTAAATTTTTTCGAAAAATACAGGACATAGAGTAAAATTCGAAAATTAACGGAAATTTTCGTGAAAAAAATACAGGACCTGGAACAAAGTTTTCAAATTTATACAGGACAGGGTTTTGAAATACAGGACTGTCCGTTGTAAAACTACGCAGATGGTCACCCTATCCATATTGAACCACCTTTTTCAGACTATACCAAACCATACCAACTTATCTTAAAAGCTACCATTAATATGATAATCTTTTAATTTCCCCAATTATTACGAAACTCCAATTCAAAAATGCTCACTAAGCCCCAAAAAGCATTCAAATAAAAATTACAATAAAACCAAATTGCAGTCGGATGTAAAAAATCGTCAGAATCTCATAGAATTTAATTCCATCCGTAAATGTATTATCACGATTACAATGTGTAAGGAAAAGCTTAATAGTAATTTTTATCTAGCCTCAAGAAGCATCTTTCTTTGTAATTTCAAAGATAATTCCTTCATTCATTAGAAAAAATACGAATGCTGTAAAAATGATTTTTTTATCCTCAATAAAGTGTTTATTTTTATTGAAAATTATAAAATTTCTAGCCTCGCTGAATTGCTTCCTTTTCTGTAACTTTTCGTCATAATTTTTCAACCAATTTTAATTTCAGCTTCCTTTTTTCATCGCTCATTTTGTTTCATTTCCTTTTATTCTTCATCGCTTTGCTTTTGAAAATAAGATTCGCAAAGTTAAATTGGGTAATAATTACACAAGCAAACATAGCAAGTTGGGGATGTTTTGTAGCTGTTTGGTTTGGTTTTTAAAGCGCTAATGAATTTAAGTTAATAGAGATAGATTTTTGGACTTCATCTTTTACTAAAATATGCTCGATCGGCACACATTGAAATGAGAACCAAGCGACAGTCGCTTGGAAGCCATTTCCAACTGCACGCTAAGTTGCTGCCATTTTAAATTGGCTGCAGCTTGGTTCTAATTAAACTATCAACCCGGATGATTCTATTTGATACATAAATCCTTAAAACTATTATATATATATTCAGCTCGAGACAGTCAACCAAATTCTTCAATCATTTCATCTAAAATCATCAATTCCACAAAGCTACACAAAAAAAATAAAAAGAATCAAGAAGAAAATTTATTTCAATTTGTTTGCTACTTTCTCATCATGACAAACAAAAGGACACGATGTTCAGTAAGCAAAGAAAGAAGTTTTTCTTGTTGAACAAACAAAAAGAAAGAAAAAAATCGAAGTTTGAAGAACGTTCGCGCGATATTTAAATACATTCAGCTCTAAAGTAGTCGCTTATCGCTAACTTTCTATTGTTCCTAGAGAAAAATATTATTATAATAATTTTCATTCATTCCTCAACGATGATAAGGAAGACACACAGAATGCGAGCGAAAAAGGCACACGCGAAGAAATTATAAAAAGGATGTCACAAGCAATAAGAAGATGACGACGACGAAAGAGACAAAGTTTTTTTTTTCTTTAAAAAGTTTACTTTTTTGCCTCACTTCCTTTATGAATATGTGCTTAAATGAACGAACAAGGAATGCCTCTGCAACTTTACAAAGATGAGCGCACAAGAAGGGAAGAAAAATGAAATTTTTTCACGTAAAAGAAAAAAGAGAAAAAAATTCTTTAATAAAAGTTTTTTTCGAGCACTTTTGAAGGAATTTCCTCGTTCCATCTTACAACATACAAAATCACATGATAAAAAATGGAAGCAGAAGACGAAAGCATTTCTTTATCGTGAGCTCAAACGATAAAAAGAAAGATGTATTAAAGTTTACAGACTGAAGACTGAGGAGGAATGTTGTCTAGGCAATTTGAAGCGTGTGTTTTCTTGGAAATTGATGACTTTTTTGGAGGAGGTTGGCTTGCTGTTTTTGGCTGTTGACGTTGCGCATTTATTTTCGACTAATTGGATTGAGTAGGAGTCTTTCAAACTTTTTTAAAATTTGAATATTTCTTTTAAAGTTTCCTCTATTTTTATGCATTTTTTAAAGAGTAAATACTAGTAAGGAGGTGGAGGTAGCACTTTAGACAGCTATTTTAAATGACACTGAATTCAATACCCAGTTCTTAGTGGGAATTAAATTTCCAGTCTATAGTGGGAACTGAACTTACGTCTCAATACGCTGGTCCTGATTGGGAATCGAACCTACATTTTTATCATTTGTTCACACTCTTACCAATGAGCTATCGAGGGTTGCTTATAAGTTTGGGAGAATTGCAATTTAAGATTTAGTTTAGTAAGCTCCAGTGGAAGCTTCGTTGTCATTCATGCCAGAATCTTTAGAATGTTTCTGATTAGAGTTTGGAAGGTTTCAATTTTATAATTTTACTAGCTTTAATTTTTCAAAGCTTTTTTTAAAAAAAAATTAGATTAAAAGAATTTTAAAAGTGGGTTCATTGCCACCCTTTACAGGTTGCACTCAAAAGTTCTGATCTAAATGATTTCAATGCATTGTTAATTCATCAAAAAATACCTACAAGTCATTTACAAGCACTTTTCCTTTGAGTTTTCAAGTTCAAATAATTTTTCTTTCAATTTTAATATTTTCACAATTTTAATTACAATCTCGTGCTGACTTGCATCTTATTTTACAACAAAAAACATTCTTATTTACTTGAATTTAAATTAAAAACTTTTTCAAGCTTAACAATGCAAAAAATAAAATGAAAATTTCAAGACTTGATACAAAAAGGAGTTGATAGGGCACGTTCGTAAAATATTTGATAAAGGTTTGCTGCTTACGCGTATTCAACACTTTTCGTCTAGAATCCCAAATAATGCTAAGCAAAGTGTAAAATTATTTACATAGCAGCATGAGTCAACGTTAAGGAAATAAATTTTCTCGTACCCAAACACCAAATCGTGTTGAGTAATAAATTATGTATTATCCTTACATAATCATCAGCATATGGAAATTAATTAACTCATAAAATGTGTAGATGCATGTACAAACACACGTCATCATTAAGGTAGGGATATGCTGAAGAAGATGTTGCATTGTTTATCTTCGACGTAAATCAAATTTCAATTTATCGCATTTGTCAACATGAAGGATTATTGGATTAAGAGGTTAGTGGATTGATCAAGTGTCATGAAGGTCGAAATGGATGAAAATTAATGCAAGGTTGAGAGATTGTTCAATGATATTGATACTTTATTGGGTTTAATTATTTATCATGAGTAGATTGAGGTGAATTTTGATCTATTTTGAGCTTTTCATATTAAAACAATGTTGCTGGCTAGAGTTTAATAGAACCAGATAGCTATAATTTATTTTAAGGTGAGCTTATAATTAGAAAAGTTGCTTACGGAGTAAAAAATCAATAATTCTTGTAACTGATGTTTTTCTAATACCAAATTGAGGAACATCAGATGGTTGATCATGGAAATTAATTAAAACTTATTGACAAATCATTATTTTTTATGATTTTAAATAAATGCAAAAATAACGACGAGCAACAAATTTTAAATGTTTCAATATTTATAACTTTTTCAAATTCAAAATGGCGGCACAGCTTTTTTCTCACTTCAAAAAGTTTATTGGCTATTATTTTGAAATTAAAAGCTATTTTAATTTGAAAATTTTACTAATGTCTCATAAAACATGGCACAGATCAATCAGAATAAAAATTGAGCATCAATAGCCTTCTAAATGCGAAGAATATTCAAAATATTTTTAAAAAAATATCATGATAACAATTCAAAACTTTCTATCTGTATCATTGTCAACTCCTCAACATAATTTCTAGAACTCCATTATCAATATATTTAGTTAAACCAATAATTATTTAAGCTTCAATTCAGCAGACCAGAACTCTAAACACACAGCAATATTCTCAAATAATTGATTAATTCTGACGCAATAAACAATTTGTTATGCTTATCATGCATAACCACACACACCATATTTCAAATGACAAATGCATTTACCAACCATGTAATTAGAGACTATATGCTTATTCTAATCTTATCAATGCGAAGATGATGTGGAAATTCACAGTGAATTAATTTTTGATATATGTAGTCGAACATTCTCGTCGTAATGTCATAAATAATTTTAACCAGATAAGGTACGATGAAAAGTGCAAAATTTACCTTCGATGGCGATTCCATAAATTGAACACAATTAAGGCTGTTCCAACAATTATACCTAATGTTGATACGATACTCATACAGATGAATAATGGTAATGATACAGTTCGAAGTACACGACGGACAATCGTACGATCTTGTGGAACCTAAATGAGATAAAAGATAAAATGTTCATTAATTTTACTGCTGAAACATTCATCGACTAGTCTAGATCATTTAACTATTATCGAAAATGGCTTTTTATTTGCATAAATTATTTACCTTTCCACCAATCCACTGCTCTTTATTGAACCATGTTAAATTATCGGCCAGGGTGTCGTAATATCCTAATTTATAATATGTGCCATTAACCATTTGCTCAATCTGCGTTAATGCTATACGATCTCCCTGTGAGCTGAACGCCACCCATCCCTATAAATAAATAAAAATAAAATAACGATGAATAAATTTTGTTCGAGAATGAGGAAGAGAGTAAAAATAATGAAAATGTTGTAATCAAAGATGTTTGATAAGATTTATGAGGTTGAAATTGAGGTTCTGTTGTGGGAGGATATGGAACAGGATTTTTTATCGGATAACATTTTAGGCATATTTTTAAGCATTATGGAAATTACAGGGTTTGATTTTAGGATATGAAATATTAATTATTTTGTTATGGATTGTTGAATTTTTGTGATTAAAGATCTTGTAAAATTTATTTCGTAATTAAGGAATATTGATCATGGTCTCCTTAAAAATTAATTTTAGACTCACAGTATTATTCAGGTGCAGTATATTTTACAAAAGTTTTATAAATAATTCTCTTTAAATTCCGGCTTTTAAAATAATCTTAAACTCAAAATGGCGGAAGCACGTGCTCTCACTTCGAAAAGTTTTTCATCAATTATTGGGAAAAAAATGCCATAAAATCGGTAAATTTATTTCTTAATTGTTAAAAAAACATGGCAACAATCAATATAACACAGTCCTAGTATTAGAATGTAAATTAATAATAAATTATAAATCAATTTAGAAAAAAATTACAACATCTATAAAAAACTCTTAATAATTCACGAAAATCCTCAAAAATTCTTCTTCCAACACACTTTTATTTCCCATTTTCGACACGATTCCTTTTATTATACTCAAAAACCTTTTTTCTCTGACATAAAAAGCAAAATGTGTTTGCTCTCGAATGATCAGTAAAAGATGTCTTCAGGCTACAGCATATTGAAGCGTGCATCTCAACAAAAAAAAAAAAATAAAATGATGACGATGCTAAGCCGTTGCCAATGTCAATCCTATTGTGAATAAAGTAATACGCTTGCTGCTTTTTAAAACAATACGAGCACATACGCATATGAGAATTTTATTATTTATATGAATATATTATTGTTCGTTCCTCTTTTTATTCTAATAATAAAAAAATGCTTTTAGCAACCAAACACGTTATTGATATGAGATATCCTTTGAGTCAATATTATTTTAGGATGCCATTTTCATGTCCTTCTTTATACGTTTATATTGTTTTCGCTTTTTTATTTCATTTTTCGCGAAATATTCTTAATACTTGAACAAATGGCGCATAATAACATAAGGATGAGCGGTAAAAGTATGTTACTATGCTTTGGTATGAAAAAAGTGATGATTATGTGGAGCAATTGAATAGAAAATTTTGTTTAATTGTATCATGATTTTTGATTTGGGTAAATTGATGTTAAGCATTAATTTATTGAAAACCATCTAATTAAAAAAAAATTTAATTATCACAACCCGACATAAACACTAGCAACAAGTTAAGTTTTCTTGCTTTTGCCACATTTTTTAATGACTTTAAATGGATTTAGTCGTTGTTACACCTCTTAATTATCAATTTAAGCTCAAATACTTTTTGAATTGAGAAAATGTGACACCGCCATTTTGAAATTTAAACTTTTGGCCATCTTTTGTTATTATACCAACATACAAGTTCATAGTATGATTATATCTGACTTACAAAGCTAATGCCTCTCTACAAGAGTACAAACGCATATTAAACCTCAAGCACGCAACAGAACCCCCTCAAACAAACAAAGAAATTATTCTATCTATTCCCCACCCATTTGATTTGCCTAATGCACTTTACATTTCGCACATTTGATAAATTTAACGTCGCATTTAATAATCATTAGCCTTTTTTCCTCAGCTCACATTCCCATTTAACACCAATACGCCTCCATCATACACGTATATGCTATATATGCAGAATTTATGTTTTAACATAAATGAAAATCTCATAAAAGCTTTCATTTTAAATCTTTTTAATTCATCATCAAAATAAAAAAAATGAAAGGGCTTTTTTTGTAGGGCTGGATAAATAATGTTGAGGGAATCTCATTGCAATGTTTGCGTTGGAAGTTAACATTTATGTTTGTTTAATGCTATGAAAGGAATGAGAAATGAATATAAAGCAACAGCAAAATCAGCAAATGTGGTTGAATAAAATGAACATTTTACATGCACGATCTCATCCAATATTTCGTCGTTTTTTATCTTCTCTGGTTTAAATAATTATCTTGAATGCATCGTTTTGTTATGCTGGATTGTGAATACTAATAGGTTTGAATTTAAATCATCAGATAATGTTAAACTTTGTGTGCATGGGATTCATTTAATCAAGCTTATTTGCATTTTATTTTGTTGCCATTTGTAGTGCTGCTCTTAAATGCTTTATAATGCATAGAATATTATACAATTAGAATTTTAAATCTCATTTCAAGTTCGATTGCGCTTTCATTTAAGTTAATTAAAATCTCCAAAATTTGCGTGTTAATGATAGCTTACTAGTTGAACTTGGTTATGTTGTTCAGGATTGAATAATCTAGATTGGTAAATTTTTAACTATGCTGAAGCTGTTATTGGATGTATTTGGAATTTTATCAGAGAAACGAGTGTCAGAGAGTTGTGAAAAGGTGCAAGAAAAACCAAAGGGATAATTTGAAGCAATATCTTCCTAAACATGTGCGAATATGGAAGATGTGCTGCATTTGCCTTAATCTTGCCACTGACTAATTCCACCCTCCCGTTGTGAGAAGCCTGAATTCAAAGTAGTGCTTAAAAAAAGTAACTATGGGCGTCGTGAGGCTTTAGCTTGAAAAAAGATATCATAGAGTCTGGATATTGACTGTCGATAGTGTCAAAAACTGGAAAACCTTAGAATCTGGACATTGGCATTAAAAAGTGTGTTAGCCTAGCAAGTAGCCATGTTTAAATTAAAGCTTATGATTGCAATAAGAGCATCAATATTAGACTATCTTCAGATACCATCTTGCGAAGGCAATGATTAAAAACTGATATCCACAACCTCTAAAGTAACGGAATAAGGAGTCTAGCAATGGCTTGAATGTCATCCCCAAACGTAATGTCTTATTAAAGCAACAGCAGCTACACTCAATTAAATTACCAAAATTATAACCATCTCAATCTTCCATTAACGTCCATAATTGTCCACCAAAATGACTCTCCTCATTTATCACTCTAAATTTAAACATCATAATGACCAAAACTCATAGACTAATCTAAAGTATCATCTTAAAAAGCTCCTAATTCATTCATAATAAACTTTTTCTTTAGCCTATAAATAGCACAACACAGTGATAAATGGTCCTAATGATCTCTGAAGCATCAAATTTTCATTTCTGTTATTCTTTTCATCTTTTCTGTCAGAAATCCAATTTAAACTTTTTTTTAGCATTTTCGATAAAACTTTTTAAGTTAATATCAAAAGAGAAATTTACTTCCTCATTTTTGGGAGAGGCTTCTGTGAACTGGAAACTTTGTAATCATTGAGAAAGGAATCACCCATATGTCATTCTTATTGTGCCATATGAGAAAAAATTTCTATCAAATGGAGAAGAGAAGCTCATTAATCACGTGTTATGAGTTCTGATGTAAATGAACTTTGAGGTTTCTGTTCCTTATTTCTGAAAATGATGTCTCGCATCTTTGATGTTTTGAGGAGAAAAATGATTTATTTTTCTTCAGAGGATGGAAATGATTTATGTGGAAAATTATAAATGCATCATTATGAGCCCATGTTCTCGTAAATAATCTTACGTCATAAATTTTTGCTGCCTTTGATTCTTGTTCTTAATTTGAATTTTTTTGGTAGAGGTTTAAATCATCAGATGCTTGAAAATGCCATGAATTAAGGCACATTAAATTAAGAAACAGTTTACTAGGGTCATTATAGATTGCAACTTCAAGTAACTCCAAGGGGGAGAACAACATGATGAGGAAAAAGTTTTGATCAATTCATGTTATTTTCCCCTTACAGAAGCCTCATTGCAATCCAGAAGGTCAAAAATTTGGGGTTTTTAACCCCACAATCCTTAAAATAAATATCTCATTAAAAATATTCCACAACTTTTCAAAATGAATAACTTCCCTAATTGACAAATTTGTGCACAGCATCCAATTAAAATTTTCAACAAAATGCTTTTCAAGTTCGAAAAAAAAACTTTTCTTTTATGTCCAATAAGGCACGAAAAATCCTTTAATTTAATGGTTTAAGCATGTCCACTTGAAAAAAAAAACGGTTTATGAAAATCCATAAAATTTAAAAAAATTAATTAAATGCAAATTTTTTTCGCCCATGATCCTCTAAACAGCAGCAACCTCACTGCTCATGGAGATTTCCAGATATTTACAATTTGCATTAACCTTTTTTTTTACTGTAAAATTTATTCATTCGCTTTTCATCCACACTTCCATCATGCACACGATAAATAGCGCTTATGTACATTCAGCTGAGATTCTCATGGAATAAACGAGAATTTAATTATCCTCAAACAAGGCATTACATGAACGGAATATAAGCGTGGAGATAGTTGTGTTTAATCTACACCTTACTTGGAAGTCACTGATGGGTTTACATTGTTCTCTGTTCTGTTTTATGTGCATCAACGTGTTTACTTATATTTATTTTTGTAGCCATCCCTTCCTTTTCATGAGAGTTGAAAGAATTTTTAACAAGTGACGGTTATTACGAAGGACATGAAGGCCATAAAATAAAATTGTGAAGTAAATGAATTTTTATGATTTTTTTTTTCTGCTTGCTTTAATGTAAACTGGGGCGTTTGCAGACATTTGGTGCTTGCTGACGTAGAAAAATTTGGGGTTTAGGAAATTTTTAGGATTTTATTGGACAGAATCGGGTTGATTTTGGAAAGCAGGGGGTAAACTGCTTGGCATATCCCAAGTTTTACACTTAGAACATAGCTTAGGTAATACTTTTGGAATAAATCCTTTAATTATGCTCTAAATATGTTCATATGCTAGCAGGAGTAGTGTTTGCCCTAGGATATACCTAGCAACAGGTCACAGACTATCCAGAACTTGGATTCTCATGCTTGAACTGCAAAATATCAAGAAACTTGCGAGAATCACAAACAGTTAAGCATAACCTTATCAAACATCAATTTCAAAACACCAAAAATCAAACAAAAACCCAATAATCCCATCTCAAACTCACCGATACGCCCAGGAACTGCGTCGAATTCATTGCCGCATAAATTTCATCGGCAATATCCTTATCCGTATATGTGAAATCCTTTAGCGATTTCTTTTTCGTCTTTAAACGCTCCATTGTTTTATTAAATGCAAATGCGACACTCCATACGGCATCATATGCTAGCGGCGCCTCCTGATAACCCTCGGGATATCTCTGATTTTCTATATCATATGTTTTCGATAAAACTTTATTGAGTCGTATTCTGAAATGAGAGAAATGTGAGAAAATAGAAATTAATTGGCATGACATGAGAGTATAGAATCACAGATGACATTTAAAGCTGTAAAAATGGGAGATGAGGATTGTAACGGCAATGATAATTGTTTTTTTGGGTGGAACCAGAATGATAATTGTGTAATTTCACTAATATATCTTTATTATTGAATACTTGAGGCTAGATCATTTTGCAGCTTCAATAAGACTGATAGATAACATAAGTCAATAACAGCACATATCAGCCTCCAAAAGAGTCAAAAACCTGAATCACCATCACCAAAAAATAAATCCTACACGCTTCATTCACAAACAATGTAAGAAGGCTGAAAGCAAGCAGCAAAAAGAAGTCAAAGATGAGCAAAATATATTTCAAGAGGAATCATAAAAGTTAATGGATCGAAAAGCATTTTAACGTAGTTGATTCCTCTATCGTCTCCTCCTCTACACCATAACTCCTTTTTCTTTTCCTTTTATCCTGTCGTCTTTTCTTTTCTTCTTTCCATCCTTTTTTTACAGCAAATAAATTTTTATCTTTCGCAATAGCATTATTTCTACATAAAAGGACGATTGCTTCTAGGATCCATTCTTTGTTCTACTTCTTCTTGTGTGTACTTATAAACGTAAAATAAATACATTTAGCTGGTTGTATCCAACTGATTCTTTTTCTTTCTCCCCTTTTTTAAAGGATAGTCGTTTTAAAGAATTATGGGGTGAAGATTGAAAATAATGTGTGGATAGTTTTTAAAGTATATTCTGTAAATTTAAAATTGCTAGTTGAGCTAAGATAAATCAGACTATGTCAAGACAGTACTTTATGCTTGAAGAAGTTTTTAAATTGAAGTTTAAAATTATGTTTTTAAGGGGAAGACTTGATTGTCTAGATTTAAAAGCTATATCGCTTTAACATGCTGCATATCTTTAAGTTAAAGCTTAATCACACTCTTTAATAAAAATTCCCATTTTATAAATGTCACCATGACACCAAATCCTACATGAAACAACCCATTTTAAAGACAGAAGATTATAAGGACAATTTTGCAACAAAGCTTCTATACAACATGTTAATCCTACAGCAATTAAAGAAAAAAAATCCAGAAGAAACTTTAAATCACAATTTTTCTAAGAGCATCTGAGCTTGAGCAAATTCTTGGAAGCTGAGGAAGAAAATGTTCAAGTGAAATAAACAAAGTAGAGAGAGCTTTGCGTGGGATTAAAAAATGGACAGGAAAATAAAAGTTTTACAGGATGTTTAAATAAAGATGAAGTAAAGGTGAGGCACTCTATACAAAATCTGCCAACTGCTACCTGAATATCTGATCGCAGGGTTACAAGATGAACTTTGTCTAAACTTAGGGTGAACTTCAGAAGCTCCCCAGGATACCTTCCCTTAGTCATCGACTTTTTAAAAGTTAATTTCATTCTATTTGGTTATTGAGCAGAGTACCTATAAGGAGCCCTAATTAAACTGGGCTAAGAACAATTAAATTGATGATATTCACTTAGGATGTAACAATAATTTAATGTGTCTAGGTCTAGGAGAGTTAAAAACAGACTTCTGGTCCCGGTTTCTAGGTCTACGTGTGGTACCTTAATGCATAAAATTAATTTCGATGTAGTATTTAAATAAAATTAATCTAAAACTAAAATAGGGTGCTCCGGGTAGCCTTAGAAAATAAGCCCTGGGGAAGCCCAGTGATATTGACCATGGGAAGTTCATGACCTTGGCTATACCAAGCAGCCTGCAAATAGACACCTGTTGAAAAACTGATAAAATCTAAATATCCTTAACTTCAAAATTAAAGCAATTGAATCAGTCAACATTATCTTTTTCAGGTTCATTGGCATTCAAAAATATTCAGACAATAAAAATGAGCATCTAAATTCAATCAATAACCTTGACAGCACACGGGTTGAATACCAATAAATCTCATAAACTCTACAACATTTCTATTTCAATATTTCGATGCCATTAATTACTCTTTAATGCCTCAATTAAAAACATTGTTGCAAGACATTACTCAATGCCTTCCTACACAAAAACAATTTTTTATCGTAAAATGAATCAATTTTTCAACCGCCCACATTCAGTAAACTTTTCTACAAAAAAGCACTTAACCTTTAACTTTATTTTACTCTTTAAAGTTTAAATACCGATTGGAGCAGCCGCAAGTGATTTGAAAGGTCATTGAGCTCATCAAATATTTTCTCAGTCCTTAAATTCTTAAAATTTCAACACATGCCTTTCGCAAGAAATACCAGACAAAAATTGCTCTTGGTTGACTTATGCTGTGCAGCAACATTGTCGCATGCCACATTTTCACATTCAAGTAAAAGGAAACAGTCAGACGGGAACGAAATCATTCTACCGAAAGTAAAAATTTAAGCTTGACGACAGCAAAGATGGGAATTTTTTCGAGCGAGCAAAAAATGGGATAAAAACCGCAATGGGATTTTTAAAAAATGACGTCAACTTGAAATTTGAGTTTTTAAACAACCTGCCCGGCGCCCTTCATTTAATCTAAAGCTGTAAAGTGTTTCATGCATACAAACTCAAAGTTTAGACGTCATTTATGAACAACCCCCCAAATAGAACCAAACATATGTTAATAGCAGCAGCAACATGACAGATAGACTAATCGTACTAACCTAAAATCCTCTGATGACATTCCGGAAACTGTCTTTTCATTATTCTGATTCCACATAATTGCCTCGGTTGTGAGATGTCCTTCAGCCGCTCGTCTCATTTCGTCTCGCGTACATGAAATGTTTTCACTTTGAAGGTTCTGTTCGAACCAATTGTCCTCGTACCATCCTGAAATAAAAAAGCATAATGAGTTAGAGATTTTATTTGAGTGATAATCAAGTTAAGAATGGAAATGGCAACACATATAAACTTTGAGATTTTTTTTTCTTTTTATCTTCTGCTTCTGTTTCCTTTTTTTAATTTGACATGAAATCATTATGAGGAGATGAAAAAGATTTGCTTTAATCTTATCTTCATCTCATTATCCTTCGTTCTGCTCTTTCCTTCATCCTAATTAGGATCAAAATAAAAGTCTATTCGTTACTCTTTCATGGGTTTTTTTCCTTGAAAAAAGTTTCGTCTATCTTCTTCTTCATCACAATTGCTTTACTTTTTCTCTTTGGTATCAATATTTTGTTGAGATCTTGAGGGATTTTGGTCGAGTGATAATTTTGTTTGGCCATGAATTGCTGTGACTTTGTCGCTAGCCTGAATAGCACAAATATGTTAAAAGATTAGAAATCCGTCACTACACCTGCGTGAATCTGGTATGGAACTAAACTCAAATCGAATCCAGCACCATGATACAGTTTCCACATCGTTGTGCCAGATTTCTATTTGATTAACCGACTTGTGCTATTCGGGTAGATCTCTTAATATTGAAACTCTGTTTCAAGTTTCTCTGAGTTTTAGTTCTGACTTTGTAGAAACAGCAAGTGACTACTGTCAGTAACAATAAGAGATCTTTTCATTGGAGATGTCTATCGAATCTCAAATCCGAAAGATGCCAAAAAACTCTTATCGATTCTCCTTGGTCACAAAAACATGCGCTTTAATATCCATTCACTCACAAAACCATCAATTCCGAACTTAGCATCAACTCTCATCTCTTTATCAGTTCGTAAACTCATTATATTGATGAAAAGAAAAGCAAAAAGAAAATCCTAACAAAGAGCAAGAAGAAGATGGTAGAAAGAAATTAAAAAATCTTATCACGAATCTTGTGCTTCACTTTTTCTCTTCCCATTACTTGTTATTTTTATTTTCGATAAATTTCAAACTTAAACATCAACTTTTTCTTCTATATCTACTCATCCTTATGGTTGTTTGATGAAATAATAGAATGTAATGTAGGGTTTTGCTCAGAGCAAAGAGCATCAGAGTTTGATGAAAAATAGCATTATATGTACAGCCGGGTTAGGGATATTATGGATGTATTTTGATTATCGATTGTTGTAAGCTTAGTGATGATGTAATAAATCTTAATTTATGGTAGTTTCGGAAGAGTGTTGGAGAAGGAATATTGCATTTATTTTTTTGATGATTCTAGAAGATCCCGAAAGCATCATAAAATCCTAGAAAGGCACAGTCAGGAGCATAGTCAGAAATTTCAAAAGTTGGGTCCAAAAAAATTTTATATGGAAATTTTAGAGGGGGGGGGGGCATTTTTATATTTTTTAATTAAAACCCTTGCAAAATAATGAAATTTCTGTTAATGTTGGGAGATTTGCCACCCAAATCCGCTCTCGCTTCTCGCTGGCTACGCTTCATAAACATCAATATTTCATTTCCTTAAACCTCAAACAAAACTTTTTATTTTATCAAAAATTAATTTGTATTTTGATCGTTTTTTTCGCGCTTCCATTCCATAAATCACATAAAAAATTGTGTCAAAAGAGGGATGAAAAAAAATGGTACGAAACGTGCATATGGGTGTAACATGCTGAGATAAATTTAATGACAATCATGAAATTCATATTATTGAGGTAGGCAGATTGAATCGTAAAATGTAATTTATGAATGTAATGAGCAAATTGCGCATTTCATTTCTCATTCATTATCGTTTTTTGTGGGTAGACATTCTAAAAAAATTATTTTTATGCTTGAATTTATTGCTGACAGAATTTATTGGCTTAATAATTTTCAATATTAGTAGATGAATGTTGAAATTGGTATATCCTCAAGCATCAACATGACAATTTTTGGGTGATGAAATTATATGCGTTATGTAAGATTTGATATTGTTGCAAAAGACATAGCCATGGATATTATGGATTCGGGGAAAGGTCTGAGATTATGTTTACCGAAAATAATGCCTTTTAGCAGTCAAATGTTCGTTAAATTAAGGATTATTTTCTACTTTCTGGTAAGCAATGAACAGAACTCGAGTGGGCAGTATTAATGGAACGAGAAAGATTATGATAGACAAGTGGGAGTCTATTTGTTAAGGATATAGTGACGCTTGTTTGAAAAGCAATGAATTGATATTTTTCTTTGTGCGTTTTGAAGCTGAATTGGTCGATATTTTAGGAATGAAAGATTTTTTTCGAGAATTTTAAAACTTCATTGACTGAAAATTGAAAGAAAATCTAGAATAAATTAACTTTCCCGAGTGGCATAATTAAAAAATATTCTGAGCCGGCAACCATTACAATCCATTTGGTGATAGTGAATCACTCAGCAGTGGAACATTGAGGGAACATTTTTAAATTGTGCCGCTCGGGTTTTGGCTTGTAAATCGAACTTAAAAGCTTCGATGAGCGCATATCTTTCGTATATCAAGGATGTTGTTGATTTGAATGCTTTGGGGCAATCGTCACTTGCTGAATCTTTGCTCAATCAAAAAGATTACAGTTTGTTGCCACTTTAGACTTAAATTTTGACATTACTTTTCCATTTATCTTTTAAAATATTAATAAAAAATCAAGGCAACATGTCAACCTTTCATCACATCTAATATCAACCCTTAAAAATCTTCCAGAATCCAAAACACCTCCCACATAAAAAAATAAAACTCACTCAAAAATTATCTCGATAAAAAATTTACAATTCCCAATTTACGATACCACAATATTATGGTTCGTACAAAGTACGTTGTGTTTCCGATATTACACAAAAATTTTATTATATTTTCTTCTCTCTTACTGCCAACATAAAGTCTTCTTGATATTTTATTATTCTCCATTCCATTGATATCACATCATACATTAAATATTGTTATTTATTGTTATAGATTTTTACTTTATATCGTTTCTTATGGAACATTTTAATACATTGCATACGTGTGTATATCTTCATATATTGCATATATGTATTCTTTCCTTCCTATCAAATGATTTATTGAGAATTTTCTTTCTTCACTTTTCTTCCTTTGTGCATGAAGATAAATATAAATTTTTATTATATTCTTTGTAATTTCAATATTGATCATATTCAGGGATTGAGGCTATGGGCATGTGTTTGGAGCGGGATTGGCATTGAAATTTTTTAAAAATTATGAAAATTCCAGAGTTCGACTGCTAGTCAACAAACATACAAAATTTCATCGACTTCAAGCTCTGAAAAATTCTTGTCAAAGGAAGGAAATTTAATTCCTAAGTATCCCTTCGGACCATGATCTGGGGCTTATATTATTAGCAAAGCTGTTTCTAAATGTTTGCATTAATAAGAAAATCTTAGGGTGCTGGAATTGTTTTCTTAGGGATCTATGACAATATTAAAGGCAAGGGGGTGCTGGCAACAATTCAAGAGCGACAATCTTAACTTTTTTGGGGTTCTTTTTTTAAATTTTTGAACGCTATCATAATTTTATTTTTTCACAAAAAGGACATTTTAAAAAAGCTATCGTCAATTAAAATCACAGCCACCTCTTCTCTTAAGAACCTAAGGTAAGTTTCATGGGCTACCCAAGGCTTATTTATACATTTTCATGCATCATAGTGAAGTCTATCGATTTTCGGTCTTTAGTTCTTTCAAGTAGCTTTAGACAAAAAGGCAGAAAGGCAGAGCCCCTACCTCCATAAAATGAAAATTCATGAATTTGAAAAGATATTTTCGATAGACTAAGAATCCCACCAAGAATTCATCAAAAAGATTTAATGCAATCAAAAAATCTTCAAATTTCTACTTGTTGAATTTTTTTAAATTTTAAATTTTATTCAACAGCCATCATCTAAATATAAAACCTACCAGAATATGACGTCATTAAGAAGAGTAAGGAGAATATTTTCTCGGTACAAGCTCATTAATAATTTATAAATTCTTCATGATATGACGACAATGGAAACCTTATTGACGTTTCAATATTCTCCCAATTTTATGTGTAGAAATATCATAATCAAATACTTTATATCCACCAATTTATATTTAATGTTGAATAATATATTTCAAGTGAAATCTCTTTTAATGGTCGAAATTGATCGAGTATTAATCCTTGAAATACATTTAAAATATTTCCTTCTTTTTATATGCCAAGCATTTATGTCCGTCGAGCAAAAATTGAAAGGAATTTAATACAAATTCCAATCTCAAAGCTTCACAATATGTTTGCCATTGAATTCTATTTAAAATTGATCGATCAGCACTTACCGATAAAGAACGATACATATGAGCGTCCATAAAGCTGTTGCTTGTACATCTCACATAGCACTCGACGAGCGGCAACTACGTAAAAAAGGCCAACAATAATTCTCGCATCTTGACGCCTTAAATTTCGTACAGCATCAGTTGGATCTGATAAAAATGATTGTCGTGTAACTATCTCTATTCCCGCTTCCTTACAACGATTCTCTAAATCTTCTACGGTTGATATAAAAACTTCTTCGGCTTGCTGCAATATTGCAATTTTCGACCAGCCGAATTTTTGCATTAATTTAATTCTAGTTGGATTGTGAACAGTGGCAGATGGATGTGTTCGAAATAATGTTGGAAATCGACTACGATCTGATAAGGCAGGACTTGAAGCACCATAACATAACTGTGGGGAGAGTTAGAGGAAGTTGATTGTTAATAAATGCTGTATTAGTAGTTTAAAGACAGAGTTGTTGAGTTTGGGATTGTTGCTGGGTTTATTTTAAAGATTCCTTCAGGAGTATGGCTTAGGGGACATCCAACCATACTCTGAGAGTGACCTTGAAGTACAACTTCGGATTTCGTTTGAGAATAACCTTAAGACATAGTCTTAAAGTATGATTATTGTGTATTCTAGTGAATATCAAGCAACCAGCTTCTGAATTCTAAATGTTGAAATTTTCAATAAAGCCACAACATCAGCAACAACACAACTCTGCCTTTTATACCTTCATAATTCTCTAATAATACTTACTACTACTAAATTCCACATTTTAGCAGCTTCCGCTACTGTTGTACACACAGTACTGCAGCCCGCTAATAACATTAACTTTTGGGGCTTATGATATAAAAGGTCATACATAACACTAGCACCAAGACCCGGCTCACACTGAAAATAGACGAAAGAATAATGAAAAAGTTGGTAATTAATTAATATTTAATTATCTTAATTAGTCAATTAAGTGCGAGAGCAGCAGAATTTTTTTTTAATTCCATACTGGACGGATATTTAAGTAGATGAGTAAATAGTTCATATACATGATGAATGTGAGGCGAGAAACAGAAACAATTTTTTTTATTGTCAAGAGCTTTGTAAGCTCGTTATTTTCGCAAAAAGTTTTTCCTATATTTTTGCCACTAGAGGATGTGCATGGAACTTTTTTTGCGGCAAGATAAAAATAACTGAAATTAATTTAATTGAAATTGATTTATGGTAAAAGTTGAGAATGGGGAGGAGGTGATGGGGCTATTGTGTAATTATGCTGAATTGATTGGATAATTATAGAGATGCAGATTGAAAAGGTTAATGAGGCTTTATAAGGAAATAATAAAATATAACTTTTGAATTTAAAAGAATTGGAATGGAGCGTTTAGAATCCTCGAATCTGCGAACCATGGAATATCCACCAAAATCTTAATAGATGGACAACCTTTAAACCATAAATAGACAACCTTAATTCTCAATCCTCCATCTCTATCCACATCCTTTCAAAACCGAACAACACCACAATTTCAAACTTTATTCCAAACAGCACAAGTTGCATGCAAATGTTCATTAACATTACTTTCAAAGTAAACATCAAAAAGCTAGTCATAATCAGAAAAACACTAGCTTGTTTTTACTTTTTTTACATTCTCAACCCAATGAAAAGCTGTAAAGTTTGAAAATTACAGGAATTATCAATTACCATAGCGTACCGTAAATTATCCTTTCATAACATTCAATTTACTCCTTTGGGCATTATTTGTTTTTTTTTTTTATGAGAAAAATGCAGCTACAAAGTTGGTTGCTTCTTTATTTTTATTATATTCCCCTGGAAATTTTTCTAATTATGCAGCACTCCATTAAGGATTGTTTGTTTTTCAATTTTTCCAAGAAAAAAAGAAAAAGTGAGAAGAGAACTTCAGCTGGAGTTTTAAGGAAGTATGCAGTATTTTGATGCAGAGTTGGATGTGAATATTGTTTCCTTTCTTTCACTTGATAGGATTTTTGAGGAATAAAGTCTCATTTCTGCTATGAGGTTTAAGGTTTATAAAAAACTTCTCTTTAAAAAATGGCTAGCTACGCTCCTGTCTTTATAAATGCTTTATACTCAACTCTTTGTGCTTGTTTTTAAAAGAATTTTTTATTCCTTGAATATTGAATGAAAAGAGATTTTTTTATGAAAAGAAAGCAATGATAAACATGATCCTTTATTCTGTTGCATCAAATAATGCCTAAGGACAGGACTTAATACAGTTTAATAGATCAAATAAGTAAATGTTCATTTCCTTCCATTAACAACTCTTGCATTATAAACTTTAATGATGAAAATCTATTTATTTTCATGCAACAAAAGGGACAGTCTACAAATTGTGTTTTTTATAAATTAAGAATTCAAGAAAAATGAAATTCTTAAAGTTGTTTTCTTCACAATATTATAGATCCTCTTATAATGCATGATGAGCTTGGTGTTTTGACCTGAATGCACTGCGATTGTAAATCTGTTGTACCATTTCCTTAAGACCCACAGTTTAAAGTTCAATCCGAACAACTTGTAAGCTCTGGACATTGCAGAAGCACAAGTACGGTTGAAGACCTTATGTATACTGCAACGCATTTGGTCACAATTTGGATGGGAAAGATGTTGTAATGAAGCTATCCAGATGCTAATGCATCCCAGTATATCTAGAAAAGGAGACACACTTTGTGCCAATTTTAAAACAATTTTAATTCCACATTATTATGGTCAGCACATATTAACAGACCCAAAGCACACAAAACATTAAAAATATAAAATGAGAAAAAGTAGGTGAAAATAAAGAAGAATAAATAAATCACAGTCATGAGAGTAATGCACAGAAATTGTGTTGAATAGGAAGAAAAGAACGACTTGAATAAAATGAGAGTGGAAATGAATAATGCGAGGAAATAATTTTTTATGACAACCTCTTAAAAAGTACAGTCATGAATGTGAGAGAATGGCTGTTAAGTGAAAAAGTGGCGATGAATGAGGAAATTTGTGAGATTTTTTAATGGAAAATAATTTCAAACAGTCCTTAAATTGCAACTTGAGTCATAAATAGACTCAAGCATCTCCTAAACCATAGAACTTTAAAATATAAAACTTTCACATTACCATCTCGATACAAGCACACCCAAATCCAATAAATCTACGAAAATGATATCGAATTAATATCAATAAATTATTGATCACATCCACAAGTAGATTTGCCAATAGATTTCATTGAATATTTCAATTTTTGCATGATATAATATCCAATATGACTCAAATATCAATAATTTATTAGATATCCTGTTTTATATTCTCACACACGAGTGCCTTTCATTTTTTCCGAATTTATGCTATTCATATTCAAAACGAGAAATATTGCATATAAAATGTTAGATAAAAAGAAAATCTTTTCTTTTTGAAGAAGAAATTTTTTGCTTGTTTAGAAGATATGCTGCAAGATGAATAGCAAATGAGACGCGAATCAAACTTTTTTTGACGAAGTTTTTTTATGATTTTTTGTGGCGTACTTAATCCTGACGTCGATCACATAGAGGAAGGGGGAACTTGATCCCTCTCAAGATTTTTAAACCCCTTAAACATACATCCGTCCCAAAATCAAAAAGAATAATTCATTACCAATAACCCAAACCCATGCTTCCCTGTCCTTCTTAAAAATGAGAACAAGAAAATCCAAACAGATGAAAAAAGGTTTACCGGAATCAAAAAGCACATGTGTTCAGGCTCACATACAGCAAAAAAATACATTCGACATCAAGTTCAACTACTTGCTTGATTATTCAAATCACATCAACCATACCTATTTAAATCCAACTGAATTAAATGTTTATGAGCCGTAATCTAATATAATAAAAAACACAAAAAATGTAATTTTTGTTCCCTTTTCACTTCTTATCATTTTATCGCTTGTGAAATATTGAAGGCAAGCTTTTTTTTTGTGTTGCTGGCATAGCTACGAGGCGGATGGAACCCTTTCACAATTTAGAGTTTTTCTTCAAGTTTACTGGAGCAATTGAGACTTTAAAATAAAGCAGAACAGTGAAGCTTTTAAAGTGAATTGCCTTCTACTGAAATTTTTTTCCGATATGTTTTTTGTGTACAACGTGCAGATGTTTATTTGCTTTGTTCGATCATGAGTGGCATGTGGGTTGAAATGTTGAGGATTTTTTTTTTGTGGAATTCTAACCTACACGTGCTGTATAAAAATGGCAATTGTACGATGAGAATATAAACGTTATTGATGTTTAAATTATTTTATGGTGCCTATTTTGTTTAGATTTTTATAATAGCTGTTAAATAGGGGGGCAAGATCAAAAATGAATTGTTCGTGACGCTTAACAATAATTTACAATTTTTGAATCAATAATGCGAAATATGTATTTAAGACTTGTGTTTTTCTTAAAGTCCTTGCCAAGACCTATATTTTGGTGTATAACAAGTATCTCTTAGACATTGTATTATAATTAAAAATTAATTTAAAATGCTAAGCATCACGAACAATTTTGAGGAAATTCGATTTTACACCATGTTGCAAATGTAATATCTCTGCGAATACTTCATTAATCATAACGATTTTTTCACCAGATAATTAAATAATCAGATCATTAAAAGTTTTGTCTAAAATATACAAAATGGCGGATTCGTAAGTTAGCTTAATTCAGCTTTAAAATGTTGAAGCTGAAATTTTGATATGAAGGAAATAGTTTAGGAACTATCTTTCTTTACATAAAAGGTTACATATGTAATTTTCTTTAAGTCTGTGAGAGAAAATTTTCAATTTTACTATAATTAACCAAGTTATGATGAGTTTTACAAAACTAGTCATAAGTCATTGCTGTGTTATTCGTCTACTGATTTTTTCATTTCAAACTATAGAATTCAACAATGTTTATCATATTGCAAAAGAAATATTACTTTTTGTTCAAGACAAGCAGAGAAAATTAAATTATAGTAAAAAATTTGACCAAAAATTTTGTAACGGTTTTTAAAATTATAGATTTGTGAGCAAATAAGAGCAAAATTTGTTGCTCAACTTAAATTTCATTGTTTTTATAGTTAATTTAACTTACTTTTAAGCCTTTTTCGAATGTATATTAAATAGTAAAAGACTCTTTAGATATCAAGTAATTGTTCTTGACCGATTAAGGTTAATAGTTTTGATTTAAAAATACATTTTACATTCAATTTGGTTTTCAGTTAATTTAACTAAAATAACTCATTTTTAATAAAATCTATTTTGATCATATGATAGAAAAAAGCAAGCTCTACAACTTTTGTCAAGCTTCCAAACATTTATCTTGCTTTCTTTTCAAAGAAAAATCGATTTCAAATATTAATTTGTTAATTAAACTAACTTAATAAGTCGCCATTTTGAAAAATGAATGTTAAAAAGAAACTTACTATTATTAGCTATCATGTAGTGAAGGAATCATATTAATTAAGTTATTAAAAGCAGAGAAATCTGAATTTCAATATTTATTCCCTTTTTTTCTGATCTTGCCCAGGGGCTTGTGTCGATTGTGGAAGTGAATCTGGTGCTGTTGGAATTTTGTAGATCTTAAATGAGCTGAAATGGTGAAGATTTGTCATTAATCAGGCAATGAGCCATCCAAAAAGCTTTCAAAGGGGGAGAAGTTGCAGCATAGATGAATCTACATCAACTCTATACAGGTTCATACTCCTACATGCCTTTCAATAATTTATTAAATTAAATATGAATTTATAGTACAAATAAACCAACGAATTTTGGTCCAGATGACTTCCCTCAAGCTGTTCTTCTCAGAAGTTTCAATCAAAAAAAAATTGTAGATTTTTAAGCATGTTTTTCATCAAAAATTCCAAGAAATAAGGCACAAAACATCCAAAAAACTTTAAA